CTGGAGCAGTGCTGGGCTTAGTTCCCCATTGCTGAATGCTATGGTTTGGCCCTCATGCTTCCCCTCCTCAGGCTGCATGAAACATTGTTTTCTGAGCTCACCTCAAGCCCAGCACCATGAGGGCTCGCTGTAGGGCTACACCTTGGGCTGCCTTGTGTCCCTTTGCAGGCAGGTTTCAGAGAGCTGAACTCCCCATGCTGAATTTTCCCCCCCACAGGGGACTGGGTCCCTTGTTCCCTTCCTGTGTGGGCCGCCCCCAGGGCACATCTTGCCAGTGCTTCCCCAGCATGTATGCCCCCTTCCAGAGGGGAATGACACCTACAGAGCAGCACCCCACACCTTCCTGCTGCTCCTCCTGAGTGCTGAGTGCTGCTCTGGGGGCTGGGCCACCTCACTGCCTAAAGAGACCCAGCAAGACCTGCTGCTGTGTCACCTGTCACCTGCTGGTGACATGCTCCTCAGCATCAACACTGGGAAAGCAGCTTTAGAAACTTATACCCCCAGTACCCCATCATACTGCCATTTTTTTTCTTCCCCAAACTGATGATAATTTCAGAGGATGATGCCTTAAAAAAAAAAGCGGAATAAAATTTTTAAATCCATGAACCAAACAGTTAAAGCATAAACATCTTTGCATAACTACAGCACAACATTTCTCTTACAACAGTTTTTAAATCGCAGCAATTGCACATCCAGTGTCTGTGCAGCTCCTCAAGCCTTCCATAATTCAGGTGAGGGTTTTGCTATCCTCAGTTAGAAAGCAAGAGGGCAGCAATCTCCACTTTGTGGGTTAACTAGGCGGCAAAATCGTGAAGCTGACAGTGCCCAGCAGCTAACGTCCTTGTTTGTATTAAAAAAGACTCACTAGACCTAAAATCCCTGTTTTAGTAGCATGATACTTTAATGACACTGCTCCGTTTTTGTGCCAGCACTTATCATAAAACTTGGCAGACACCTGGGAGAATATTTATAATTGACAGAAACTCAAGCAGCTCCTTCTAACAGGCAGATATAGCTGAGACTTGGACACATTTTAGCAGGATGCAGTTTAAAGTTTATGATCAGAACTGCTAACACATCACAGTTACAAACGTAAAGGTACTGAAAAAAAAATCTTCACAATGTTCACTTTTAACCCAAAGAAGCCTGAAAAAAGTGTTAAGTGGGAATGGCTGATGAGGAGTTAGGAAGAGGATGGAGGTACCAGCAGGGACTAAAGGTTGGAAAGCTGAGGTGGCAGAGTGCAGAATTAAAACAGTCAACTGAAGCAATCTCCTTTCCTGTAACAGAGCTGATGGAGGCTGTTCAGTTCTGGCATGTCCTAGATGAGGACTGTTTCCACATCTTTGTTGCAGACATGCTGAGACTCTGTCAGATGGCCTCCTCAAGTTCTTTGTTTAGACTGTAGATGATGGGGTTTGGCTGTGAGGACTGTGGCATATGAGACTGAGAGTCATAGGTGACTTGCTACCAGTGCTGCTCCATGTTTTGTAGGGGAGGCTGCTATAGCAGAGGACACCAAGCTGCTGTGACAGAAAGATGTGGGAGCAGGACCTTCCATGCAAGGTTGTGTAGTAGCCATGTAACTGGATTAATTTGTTTCAACTTGGCCAGTTTGAAGCAGGACTGGCAAGATCCATGGCCAGTGTCCTTGCTGCTGGGAATGCTTTATGCTTCCTGAGCTACTGCAGTTGCTTGTGCTTTGGGAATTGCAGGAGGGAAAGCTTCTTTGTGCCAGCAAGTCCTGACCTCAAAGTGGTGTGCAAATGGGTGGAATTGTGAGCAGCATCCTCAGAAGTCCTGGGCTCACAGCAGCCTCAGGTAGCTGGCACAGACTCGAGGGCACTGTTCCAGCAGTGGTGTCAGCACTTGACTGTGAGAGTGGCTGCTTATGATAAATGATCAATTTGATTCACAGCACAGGTTGGCTGAGGCAAGCCCTGAAGGTGACAGAGGTTGTCCCTACCCCGTTTTCCAGTCTGGGATGAGGCACTATCTGTGTGAAGCTTCTCTGGATGTTTTCTGATGGCTACTTTGACCCTGACCCCATCTTATTACAAGGGCCCCATATTAAGTCAGCAGGCTCCTGGTCAGAGCACTTGTCTGGGCAGACTCTGTGCCTGACCTGTTCTACTCTTTAAACTCTCTCTATAACTGTTTTTGTTGTTGTCGATTTTCTCTCCTCTCTCTCTCGGATCCCTAGGAGAATTTCAAGGTGGATTTCTTGGTTGCAGTGTGAAAGCCAGATTCTGGAGAGACCAAGAGATTATGGTGGCATGAGAGGTCTGGAGAAATTGAGAGCCAGAGATACATTCAGCAGTGAACTTCGAGCCCCATTAGTTGGTGAGAGGACACAGGTTTGGCTTATTTGTGTTATTCATGTCGATGCTGCTTGCCTGTATGCCTGTGCCTGCATTGGCATGGCTCTGTTTGTTTACAACATGCTCCCATCACCACTGTGTATTCCAGCATTTGGTCATTCAGCCAGTCATTCAGAGGAATCATGTGTGGTGCAGCACACCAGTTGTCCACAATAAGAAAGTATCTGTTTTAGGGGGCTGTCATCTGACGATCAATCTGAAGACCAAAATGGCTCCATCAACCCTTCAATTTAATTTCCTTGTGACTTTATTTGTCTAAAAGTGTTTTTTTTTTCCTTAACTATACTTCAGAGACTATTTGTCTAACTGCTAACAATCCACTTGGAAGTCAAACTGGGATTCATCATGGCCAAACCATCCTTCCCATTCTCAGACACCAATTCCCTTGATGGGAATGTGGCATGGCCAGATTGCAAGGCACGACCATACCTGAGCAGGGAGAAATGCTGGAAGTTGTCTGCTCCAGCTGCAAAACAGATCCTTGTTCTTTTCTCAGCTCAGAGGAGGGCAGGGGTAGAATTCACTGGCGGATCATCACCAGTATAGGCAGAACAACATTGCATCTTGGAAGTACCCGAGTTCCTGAATGTGTATTGAACTCTGTAAATATGAATTCTTCACTGAAGCCTATGGTGTCTCACTCTGAAATGGCAGGCAGCTTGACCTGGTACCTTTCCTGACTGCACATAGGCCACTTCAGGTGTACTCCATGCCCTGAAGTACACTCCATAAATGGGGTGCAACCCACTGGGTACCCACACACACCTTTCTCCCCCAGATCCCTCCAACAATTTCTAGGCCATCTGGAGCCCAAGCTTGGAAGTCCCTCCACTTGTATTTCTTTGCTTGTTTTCCTCTTTCCCTTTGGCAGTTAGAGCACTCTCATTTAGGCCTGGGTAAAGGTTTCAAAGCCTCCCTGCACACGGGTAGGACTGAGGTTGTGCCTTTATGCTCACTAAGCAACTTTAAAGGAGCCACACAAGGCATCAGGTGTGCTGGCTGCACCTCCTGTTGGCAGGTTGGGTGCCACTCCCACAGCTTTGAGGAGGTGTTAGTCAGGTGTGATACCTGAGCCTCTAGCAGTGCTCTGCTAAGAAGGAGGATCATGAATTCATCACTGCTTACTTGTTCCCAGTTACTGGGTAATTAGATCATACTCTCTTTCAGTTTCGGGACTATGTATGAAGATGAATTTTTTGGTCATGTCTCCTAAAAACCAAGTTCATGTAGCTCCTGCATGCTGTTGTCTCACAAAGGTGTACCACAATCCCACCTGCACCATTTGGAGGGATTTCACCACATTCAGCACCTGCAGAGATACCTTCCAGATACCTTTGTTTTACCTAATAGACAGCTCAGCTGGCTCTTGTATTAGTCTATTCGAAATAAGTGCTGGGTTGCAACATGTAGAAGTTGAAAAGAAGTCCATGTGGTGTGAACAGCATTATGTTCTACTCTGCCACACCACCACTAGGACCTGAGGGAATAATAAGTGGAAAACGCTACTTTGCTTTCCTCAGTTAAGGGAAAAAGAACAATTTCTCTTCCATTTTTAAGGCAAGCCACTTGGTGTAAAGCTTGATTAAATGGTGAACACTTCACTTGGATGTTTTATGGGTTTTTTTCCCCCCCTACATGAAGGTCAGTACTTTGGATGCTTCCTCTCTTTTCCCACAACAGTAGTCTCAAACTGCAACTTTCTATGTATGGTTTTTAAATGTAATTGTAGCTGTTTCAGAGCTTGTTGATCTGCAGTCCAGCAAGGAACAGTAAGGTTTACCCTGAGATGCTACGGCAAAACCGAGCCCTCCCCTGTTCTGCAATCAGTTGTTGAATAGAGTGGGGAGGACCAACTGCTCACTGCCAGAGGCAGGGTTAGTGCAGCAGGGACACCTCAAGTGGATGTGCCAAGCTGATGGATCCCCCCATCAGCCAGGAAAGGCAGATCTTAACCTTCAGGGAGGGGTGGGCTTGTGCACCCAGAGTGGGGCAGTTTCCACCTGGATCCAGCTCACTGCAGAGCCCTCCCACTTGTCCCAGCTGACTCCCTCCAAGCCAAGGTCCATGATGTCTGGCTCGAGTTGTGCAGGCCAGGTCCCCCCACTGCTCACCAGAGCCAAGCACAACGAGAGTATGAGTGGGCCTGTTCTCCAGGTCTCCAGGTCATGTGTTTCCAGAGGAGGGCAAATAGGGCAAGCAGATGTACAAAACTACCCTGGAAAAGCTGGATCATCATTAAAGTAACTCAAAACACCAGAAATGCTTAACACACTATGGTGCTATTGCAGAAAGACTCTACCAGTTACAGTAAGTGCTATTCACAAAAATAAGGGTTCTAGGGATGCTTGAATGTTGCAGGGTTCAAACTCAGTGTGTAGGTGTCGTCTCAAAATGAAAACATATGAAATCACACTTTTAGAACACAGCCACCCTTTCACAGGGCATGACCCAATCTCAACCAGCAAGGCTAGAGAGTTCCTATAAAAGCAGTGTGCAGCTGAGACAAAGTATGTTTGTCTCTGCGTAAGTGTATTTCACTATTTTCAAAGCATGACTACTTCAAAAACATCCGGGGCAGAAGAGATGTTGTATTTTTCACAGACAAAGTCTAGTTACAGATCTCTGGGAACTTGTAAATTATATTTAGAATACAGAATTTCAAATTGGTGCAAAATGTACAGTCAAACACAAAACACATATTGCAAAATATATACAGAATTGCTCTAAGAACAGAACCCAAGGACAAACAGATGTTTAAATATAAGAGAAAAGTCCACCTTTTATAAATTACTCTTTCAAAAACTAATTATTACACCAGGTATGTTATTTGTAGACAAGTTACCACAATATGGTGACATGTCTCATTTGCAAGGCAGGCATTGAGAAACAAGCTACATCACTCAAAGCCAGTTTCTGAGACCAATCCACAAGTAAACATGTGTGATAATGCATTACTGGTTTGAGGCACACAATGTGTTTTCAACCACTTTAATGCTTATGCTTAGGCGCTTTTTATTCTGAGAATTAGGCAGGTGCACAAAGAACAAGCACTAGACACTAACTTGTCATCTTACATTTGTTTATTGGGCCAAGATGATTTATTACCAATGTATTAGAACATTCACAAGAAATGCTATGAGACACCTTAAGAGTATCCTGATAATAAAACAACATTCATACAACTGCATGAATTTGGATAATTTAAATAGTCAGAGGTGAAAAACAGTTATTTAAGCAATAGTGAAGCCACAGTTTGAATTAAGATGTCATAGGTTGTTCATAAGTAGGAAGGACACTGAAATCTATAGCAAACTCTGATGCTTTGCATTCAAAGCAGAGATGTTCTCTTCCAGTAATCAGAACTTGCAGCTTCAAGGTATTGATTGCTACTAGCTACACCATTGCTAATTAAACTATCACAAGGATAACTTGCTTTGGGCATGTTTGGAATGCTGGAGTTGTACAGCTATTGCTATGCTACAGATCCCCGAATTGTGCTTTAAAATAGCAGTGAAGGCTTTATATGCACCTAAAATTACACAATAAATACTCAGTAATTCTTCAAGCACCTCCTGCTACTCGATTTGGCAAGACCAGCAGCACTAGGAAATGGGTGCCATGGTGAGCCAAACTGCTAGCAGTTTGACTCAGGCACTCCTGGTTTGTGCCTGCCTGCCCACCTTCAGAAAGCAAAAGGGCTCATGTGGAACACTGTGTGACAGTGAGAGAGAGGACTGTAAGTGCCAGTCACCAGACCTGTAACCTTCCTGCAGTCAAGCACAAGGGCAGGCTCTCTGCTCTTCAACCTGATCCATTTGGGGAGAAGTTCTGCCTTGTAGAGCTGATGTTTATATTAGGAGTTGCTGCCAGAGGCATAGCAGGTGATACACACAATATAAATGAAGCCACATCTTCTGAAATCAAGTTGTCCCCTAAATAACACACTTGAGCAGTGCACAGTGACACACTAAGTGGGTGTGCTGCTAGGAGAGCTCTGAGGGGTAACTACACCACTAACAGTGCCCTATTAAAAAATTATTTGCTTTGGGATAGGTCTTTAATATCTACACACATTTATTTCAAGACTTCAGACCAACTTTTACAAGAACACTGATCTGCTTATAAAACATTCTCATAAATTATCTTCACCAAAAAAAAAGTCACTTTTTCAGAAAACATGTTCAGTACAACATTATCAGTAGAAATTCTGTCCTGTGAGTCCATGGCAGAAAAGTCATAATCTGCACTTAAATCTCTCCAAAGTGACATATGGTAAGCAGAAACAATGCTTCCAAAACACACAGAGTGCACTGCTTCAGTGAACACGTATGCATTTACAATCAATAGTCACTGTCCTGTAAACATTGAAACTGCTGCTCTAACTGCAGGTTAAGATCAGTAATTTGCATTCATTTCACTGCACTCCACACATAAAAAAGCTACATTGTTTAAAAAAAAAAATCCCCAAAAACATTAAATAGCAAAAGGAATGAAGGCTTTGAGCTGGATCTCTCCTGCAACTAAATGTCAAATCAGTAAATATTGACATTATAAATTAAGCTTGAACGTTACTTAAAACCTAAAACTTAGAATAGCAGCCAATTTGCTCAAAAGCATACATGAACTTTCAGTCAGCTGTAAATACATACTGCGATGGGAGGAAGAAGCCATCTCTCATTCCCAAAAAGGCTTTCAAGAAGAACACAGTATTAGATATGGATGGGGATCAGGAACACTGCAGTCAGAGAAACTCCTTAACAATTGCATTCTACAAACTTGTTTTCGTTGCTACCTGAAAGTGCATCTTTGTATCTGTAGAATCATCCCCATATTTATACAAAAAGTACAAACATTGTGATTTTGTCACAGCCTAAGCCTATCTAACGTGTAGTTTCTAGTAAGTGCAAAAAGTGTAATGAAGTTACATGTGCACTGTGCATATAAGATCAAAGCCTGAAAATGAGGCAACGTAATCACCATGAATTCAAGGTAGTTCAGTAGTTGCTGAGCCTTTACTGCACAGCTGTTAAATGGCTAAAGTAGAAGCTGAAGCAGAAATTAAAAAATAGTCTAAGCCCATCAACAAAGCAGTGTTTTAGAGCAGGAACTCCATTCCCCCACTCACCATGCACATTTACCATCACGGGCTCATGCCTTTAGTACCAGTTTCTGTACAGAGCTAGGCCTGAAGGGCAAGAGGGCAGCCTAGCAGAAGATGTACAGTTACACTGAAGGTTGTGAGGAAGGGGTATGGGGTGCAGAATGAAAGAGTATCTTCTGCCAGGTCTCTCAAGGGCACAACTCCAATGCACCCCTGTTATCACAAAGTGCTGGAATATGGACCAGAGGCTATGCAGCACAGAGCATACCTGCTCAGCACATTATCAAATACATATGCAGCTAAATCTGCCGTGTCTTCAACATAAGCCCTTTTAAGTGTCACAACAGCTCCACTTGCCTTCTCCTCCCACAAAATGAGGCTTCATTTGATAATGACACGTTTATATGTCAAGAGACTGCTACAGAGTCACATGCACACATAAATACTTAGCAATTCAAACAGCTGGTACTCAAAACAAGTGCGTTATTTGCTCTTTAAAGAAACGAAATCTGTACAATACTTGTAAGAGGGTAACCGTGAAGATTAACAAACAATTGTCTAGAACAGTTCAGTTAGTTTTGTTCCTTAGTTAAGTCTTGCAGTGGACTATGCTCAGCTTTTTCTATATTTTAAAATGCTACAATAGCCATTGCCACTGATTTTAGACACACAAAGACTTGATTAAAATCTAGAAAGAGCAAGAGGAGCTCAAACTGTACATGCACAGAGACTGTACTCTAAACACAGTTGTGTTTTTCACTGTATTGCCATCACGTGTCTTGTTGGAAAGCGCAAGTCCTGCCTCCTGTCCAAAACTGGTGAGAGAAAGATCCAGAAGTGAGTGCTATCAGAATGTTGTAACGGAGCAAAAGCTGTACAATTAGGCACTGTGGAAGGAAATACAATAAGGCGTATTTTCAAAGGGTGTGTGCACATGTATGTATATGCATGTATGTACACGCACATATATACACATACATAAACAGTTTTTGGCAAAATGACAGTTTCATTTAAAAATCAATGCAGTGAAAACACCAGCAATTTAAATTATACAAATCAAGGGTAAAAGCCACAGGGGAAAAAAAGCAGCAAATATTCTAAGTAGCACCTGTATCTCAGGGATGAGCTTTTGAATTTCAGTTCTCCCAGTTCAAGGCAGAGGTTTGTTTACCCATCAGAACAGATTTTAACCAACTGATCACCTTCTCTCCTATGTGATATTGGGCTATTTCAAAGGAACCACGATTTTCAGGACCCTTTTCTCCCCAGCGCTGGCAAAGCTTAAGTAGGACACTAGTAAAAGGTCAGGAGAGTGTATCTCAGCAGGAGGGATGCTAGTTGTGCTATCCGTGCCTGCCATGATTTACAGGCAAGGACAATGGAGAGAGAATGAAGGAGTGTGTACTCAGGATAGCAATGAGCCTGTCTACAGCTACAGCTCCTGGTCCTGTGTCCCTCACATTCATTAACACCTGTCTTAACTAAACTGAGCCTCTTCCCCACCACCATTGCTACTGCATTATTTAAAGTACTTGGCCTGTGACCACTAGGTTCTCATACAATGTTACTCTAAGAGTCAGTATGGAGACTCATCTATCTGCTCACTGCCATGAAAATTATACTGCATTGTTTTGTTCAATGTAAAGACCGAGTCTAAATGTTTTGCATTAACTGCAAAGAGTTATCTCCCTCTTTCATTCAAGTCTTACATACTACACAAGACAATACTAGGCCTTCTCAGACACTGTGTGTGATGAAAATGTAAAAAAAAAAAAGGAGAAAAAAATATTCTTGATACACTGGCCTTTACAGAACCTGAAAATGGAACATCATCTTAATAGAGGGGCTAAAGAGTGAGTTTCTCTTTTTAAAAGTTTTACAGGGGGTTTCCTATCTCAACTGCCCAGGAATCTATTTTGGCATCAAAACACAATAAACATCACTTTACAGTGCATAAAGATCTTAGATGCCAAGTGCCTTTTTCTTAAGATACATTTTCATTCCAGTGTGGCACTCATCTACTCAAACAAAATGGCAGTTGCTTTCTGGAAAAAAAAAAAAAAAGAAAGAGAAAGAAAAACATAACTCAGAGACTTCTTGTCCTGTAGGAGTCGGGTTACAGGAAGGATGCTGGATGAGGCGTCCTGGGAAATAAAGTCCCGAAGTACTCCCACACATGGGCAGTGAGAAACCCATGGTGATGGGTCAAGGGAGTCTTGTGTTACTTTGAACCCACATATATAAGGTGTTGTTTCATTTGAATAAAGTGGATTTGGCTCAGAACCCCCAACCAAGCTAGCTGGGTCCGTGTAATTAATTTACATATTATATTAATATGCCACGTTGTCCTCCGCCAGGATCTCCTCTGGAAGTTGCAAAAAGAATACATTCATACTTCAGTGTCACACTGCTTCCATGATGCTACCCCGAGACAGGCTTGTACAGAGTTCCAGGGATGGAAAATCTCCCGGGAAGGACACGCCACACTAAGGGGACCTCTGATTAAAATACTGTGATCTGCGAGTTTCGTGTTATTTCAGAAAACAGATACTGAGCAAAAGGGAGAGACAGTCAGGTCCTTAACAAGCCAAAAACTTGAAACAGTGTCAGCTACATGCTGAAGGGTTATATATGTCTGGAAAATAATAAGACAGGTTTATTTACTTGGGTTGCAGAAGACAGCACCAGCAATCTTAAAATTTATGCACATTTTCTGTAACAAAAAGTCAAGTTTTCCTTTCTGTTACCGTCAGCAACTGGAAAGTAAGACCATGCATTCTTTCTGCTGCCCCAAGGATACAAAGCATTTTCTCTGTCTTTCTGGACAATTATGAAGCAGCATTCTATTTCAGATTTCCTCTCTAATTTGTGAGATTCATCCAGGGAGTGCATACCCTCAAATACAACACTTCATTCCTCCTACTTGTATTGCTGGTACCAGGATGCCAGAAGAGCTCCAGCTGATCCTTCATGCCCAGGGTCTGAAGCAGACAACCCCGTGTTTAATGATCAGGAAGACAAGGATTTTAGCTCTGTACTATCCAAACTATCTCCCTCATAGCACGAATCCAGTTTGCATGTCAAATAAAAGTTAAGTTGTAGTCCACACTGTGGTACCTGAAGAACATCCCTGAAATTAAATCAAGAATTTAAACAATTAAGAAGAGGTTTCACTGAAAACAGGAGTCAGTCCTCCAATTGCATCTCTACCAGAACATAAGAACAGACAGAATCACTAGATAGGAAGGAGAGGCTGCAGGCACCTTCCATTTTTCCATGGCTGTTTTGTCTCTATAGCTTTAGCTGTATCATTCTGTTGCTATAGATGACTCTCTTGTAGCACCCACATTCACACCTTTGTCTGCACCACGACTGGAAAGTAGAAAGCACAGGTGTTGCTAAAGTTGGCCAAGTGCTTAGAGTACAGACTCATCAACAAGACCCAGTAAGAACTGCCTCAGCACGTAACTGGCTCCATCAGAAAATGGCTTTTGCATATTTAAAAGTTAAATTTAAGTCCCCTGAAGCAGCTGGAGATGTTTTTCTAGACACACTGGCAGGAGGAATGCTCCTAAAGCTGACACTTGGGTGATGAATTCATGCCACCCATAGCTGAATTAGTTATTACTGTGCAACAGAGGACAAGTAAGCCCACTGTCTGGCTGAGTGGGCTCTAGGCAACATGGCTTAAGTAGCTCCAAGCAGCAGATACAAGTGGTAAAATAATGCAGGCCCCACCCCCTGCCCACAAGTGGCTCACAGGGCCCCTTGAGTATGATGATGACCCAAGGTGAAAGGTTCAGTCCCTGGAGAACGAAGGTGAGATGAGCCCAGCAGAGATGAGTGAAGAACAACATGACCATGAGCCATGGACAGCAGATACATGTGCATGGCAGGACCAGCACACCTGCTCCAGCGCCAGTCTCTAGCACGAAGCTGTAAAAGGAGTACCAGATCTCCACACCTTCAGCAGATGAATAAATGCAGAGCATCTGAAGAGCACACCCTCATCCAAGTGAAAAAAGACAGCCACTGCATCCCTGGGCCCACACCTGATAACAACACCAACAACACCATCGAGGACTTGAGAAGCTGTATCAGGGGTTAATTACGCTGATACTTTTGGTCCACGTTTGGCCCAGCCACCTGTAAAAGTTTTGTTCTTTCCCTGACAAGTTATGAGAAAAAAAGCACTGATAAAACGGAAACTTCGTCCTTGGAGAAAGTTCTTGTATAAACTATATTTAATTGCTATTTTATGATTTGGCTGATCGTCCTCCAAGGTTGCTCGAAGGAGAAACTGAAGACTATGGGTATGAAGTAAACCTCTAGACTCATTTGGAAGAGATCCCCCGGGGGCAGTGCGCAGGCGCGGGGAAAGCCATGCATGTGCAGACGAGATATCACTTGCATCACAAGGGGTGGGACTGGGGGCCTCTGGCTGGGCAGTGCTGGCCACACCTGCCTAGGCTGAAGTCACTCAGTTAATTGTATAAAAGCAGAAAGCTCTTTCTTGGAGGGCAGCAAGCTTCACATCAAGGATAATGTTGCCTTTTGGCGGGGACGCCTGCCAATTTGTGAACTTACTGACTCTCCAAGGATGCAGATTCTGCAATGGGTAATTATAGGCACGCTAGGTCGGCAAGATAACTTTATGGGCAACAGCTGGGTAACTGGGGAGGTTGTGCTGGGGGCTTATTTCTCTCCTCCTTCTTCACTTTTGGGTTTGTTTGTTTTGTTGGCCACCTCTTGGTAATAAATATCAGTTTTGTTGAGCTTTCAGTGGTGTCATGGTTTCAGATTTCAGTATGCTCTGAACCCTCCCTAATAAAGAAGCCTAAACAGGTAAGTGAATTTTCATGATGGCTCTTGCATTCCCAGTTATTTGAAGCCTACAGCATGTTACATGCACACCACAGGCTTCAACACTGCCCAAGGCTCCTCAGAGAAGCTATGCTGTACTTCATCTCTAACAGATGACTGTTCTAATTCACTTAACACTAAGTGGTACTTCTTTTACACTAATTAGTGATGATTCTTTTAGTCTCTGAGCTTGCTGTTATATAATAGTCCAACTGTGACAAATTCATGAAAAAGAAACAGCACAATTAAAGACAAGAAGAAAACTCTGGTGTCAAAGATAATGGTTTCAGTGACAGAAAAAAACTGGTATACCATAATACTGTCTTGGGTATTCTTATTTCTTTTTTACGTTAGCGTTGTAGCTGCTGAAATTCAAATGCCTTCTAAAACAGGCTTTGGCTGACTAATGAGAAACTAAGTTGCATCTGAAAAATTGTTCTACAGGTTGTTTCCCCTTCATTCATACTGCCCAAGTACTGTTGAAGTAAACTCTCTGAAATATTTTGACTCAGCTGTTCTAGTACTTTCTCTCTTTCCAGTGCACTGGGCTCCTTTTATAGAAATAATCTCTCCTGTGTTTTGTGTTTTTCTCTTTACGGTAGTACTGTTTCAGCTGTGCTATTTGGACTGATCCAAGTTCTCAGCAGCTCAAGTCTTTGCCTTCTTTTGGTTAGGACGCTATTGCGAACATTAATTTAAAGGAACACATTTTCAATTATGGAACAACTCACCAAAATTTATCTATGGAATGATTTTAAGAAGGAGCTAGAAGGAGGGGAGGAGTCTTTGCGAAGGCAGATGCAGAAATCTCAGCATCTTGGAATCTCTGTTTGGCTGGAAAATGGAAATGGCTTATTGAAAAGCAACCCAAAGTAAACATTTCAGATGAGACAAGTGTTACATGATATTTGTGACAATGAGGCACTATCTTTGAAAGACAAAGTAGAACCCAGTACTGTCAAAATGTAATGAAAGGCACGCTCGTAGGCAACACTCTTCAGGAGTTGTCTGCACTTGGTTTTACCGAACCAGCTTGGTATCTACAGTAGGTGTGCTGCATCACTTCTGAACACAGGTCTCCACTTAGCGTCCTCCTTCAGAGACTGACATGCTATCCACTTTCATCTCTCTCAGGCTTCCAGTTTTTTTCTGTTTCTGCTTGGATTTTTTCAACATATGGACCTAAAATTGAAAATTTTAAAAGAGAGTATTAAAAGGCCTGTAGTAAACAATAAGCTGATCTAAGGCAACTAACTAATAACCAAGCAAAATGCTGGAACTGCCACAGAAAAACATTTAAATACACAACTATCTCATGCATCTATCCTTATAAAGCTACAAGATTAACTGTTTTTTTTACAAAAACATATACACACACGTTATATGTATGCATATAGATGTATATGTATGTATGTGCATATATATATATTCCTGTACACTCATATACATACACATACATACAGATAACAGTACTAGTCACTAACTTGATAGAAAGATAAGAAATGTTTCTCACTGAAGGGCAAGTTAGGTTTGTTCTCCCTCTTTCTTTGCATTCCCCCCCCTTCTTCTCAGGAAAAGAATAAAGTTTAACATATTCTGAAACTTTGAGATCTGACCCTCTCTTTCAGCCATTTTCCTTCTGCAAGGACCATTGTCCTGGTAGCTCTTCCAGGAGAGCTACAATTCTCTGAGACTGTCAAGACTGCAGCAACAGATTTCTGCAAGTTGAAAAGGCATTCTTAAAGTAGCAGGCAAATGTGTAGACTGGTGTGCACCACAGTCAACTACTGCAAAATGTTTATTTCACAACTTCAAAGTCAATAGAGAAGCTAAATTCTTAGGCAGCTGATACTGTCTTCCTTTTACATACATTGAGATATCAAGGAAAAACAGCCACTGATTACTCCAAAGTTTCTTTTTTTGCAGACCCTGCTCATCCATCATTCATTTTTCTCCTTTGCTACTCTGTGACAAACCTTCCCTTCTCCAGCAAACTGATGCCTACTTTGCACACTGCAGTACTATCATGGTCCTTATAGCTGTGACCTGCTTCAAGGCAAGCAACACTGCCTGGAAATCTCAATACAGAGGAAAAAATTAAGTCACTAGGCTGAAGCTCAGGGACTATTTTTTTAACACAAGCCTCATCTCAGCCGCTGGAAAGACCCCTCAAAATACATTCTGTAGGAACTACTGTGTATTTATCCAACAGTTACCACATGTGCTGACTAGCTCCTTTAAGGTTGAGCACCAGAACACAACAGACAAGCAAGATAATATGATAACATCCAGTAGAGGAACAAAGTCATCTTGCTAAGAGAGACCTACAGCCAGTACCTTTGGTCCTGCAGCAGAAATTATAATCTGGCCAGGGGCCTGAATCCAGGGCTCTCCATCAACTTGAACTGGAATTGGCTTAAGGAGTGTTACACGAAAATATGAGCCTTGGGCTATGCGGATTCCTGATCGAAAACCACCTTGGACTTGACCCTGTTAGGAAGTAAAAGCCAGGATATCTATGACCCCAATTAACAAGAAGCACAAATACTAGCTGTGATTAAACTGGGTGGATAGTATCTTACTCTCACCTGACATTCTAAGTTTCAAGTAAAAGAACTTCTTCGGCAAAATCTGCACAGGATGCCTTTAGTGCCCTAGCATTAATTATGTCAGTTAGTGCAGAACTTGGACACCCCTGCAGGCTGCTGGAGGCAAAACAACTTCCACAGAGAAGTTGTTTGTACTCCAAAGCAACAGGTACACTCCTTGCTGCTTCTGCTTTCATGGAAGATTTAAGGATCTCTACCAAAATACTTCTTCAGTGTCTTTTAAAAGATCTAAATCAAAAAATGGTAAAGTTGGCCAACACCAAAGATGGAGCTGCACAAAATTTTAAGTGCTCACCTTTCAGTTTTTGGTTGTTTTATAGATTAGTTATCTCTAGTTACCTGATCGCATATACTTTTTCAGCAGCAGATTTCTTTAAATAGTAAAAAAAATACGAATAAAAGACAAAAATAACCTGCCGTTGTACAGGACTGTGTTACCAGTAGCAGGCCACTGTATGGCCTGCTACATAATATGTCATACCTCAAAGAATTAAAGTTCCATAAGCTGAGTCATAATATTGTTTGCAGAATGGCACACCATCTGCTTCACGTAGCATTCAGATCAAGAGCAGCTAGCACCAGATTCTCAGCAACAGGGGCTGGAAACCCTGTGGCAGAAAATTATAAAGCCACCTGTCTAGAAAGAATCTCCACCCTGATTGTAATGAGGTACAACAAGATTTTTTTGCAAATACACTAGGTGAAGAGTGCATGTTTTTGTAGTATTAGAGTAAGATCTTGTTTTCATCCCATGAACTGTTTGGTTCTGACACCATGTTACGAGAAAGCAAGTGCATTCTACAATACATACATATATATGCATTTAATATATATGTATGCATGTAAGTTTCTGGACTTGGTTCAAAGTCTAGTCGAGTTATGAAGCATTGCCCCACCTGCTTTTAACAAGTTCTTCACACTCCTGTTACCTCTTATCCAACCTTAACGAAGAGGCATCATTTTTAGGACTACGCACTTGCAACGCACTGTTTGTTACAGAAATGAGCCTGTCTGAAAGAATGTGTGCTTCCTCTGTGCCTACTGGGATGCCAGCTTACCATGTGAACGACGCCAGTCACACCAACAACTTCCAGCAGGCCGTCGTCGATGCGCGGCTTCTCGAAGCGATTATCGCTGTCAGAGCCCCAGAGATCGGCTCCAGAGCCCCAGCTGTGAGGAGAACACACCACAGTCACCACCCACCCCTGCCTCAGGGCACCCTCCCTGCTGCCCTGCTGGGGTGGCTGGTTTGACAGGCTTCCAAAGCCAGACACTCTGCTCCCCTCATCAGCTGGAGGGATTGCAGTTCCTGCGTTGTGAAAACAGCAACTGTTTTTCCTAAAATCTGGAAGAGTTCTGATAAGATCTTTTGGTGGTAAAAGAAGGAGTGAAGTAAATAGTTTCCACTGGAAAGAAAAAAAATGTAAGTAAGAAGAAAGTCATTCTGAATAGTTTCAGTTTGCTGGGAAATACAGGTTACAGCTTCACTAACCCTCACCTTTCAAGGCTTAAGAACTTAACATAGCTCTTACTGGTCTTGACAATATTCACAGAAGCTACTGAACAGAAACTAAAGCTAAAACAAGTAAGAAGTTTTTATTCTTGTACCTGGCCAAACTCACTTGCAGCTGTTAGCAGGTATTCATGCACTTCAATCCTCTGACATGCTTCTAACAATTAAACACCATGTTCCTTTCTGTGCAATACTGACCCTCCTCACTCAAATCACTCGCTTATTGTTTTTGTGCACGGACTGCTTGTCACTAATTGTGATTTTTTTCTTCCACACAGTTCTCATGTGCAATGTATATTTGTGTATGTGTATGTGCACAGGTGTGTATACACATACGTAAAACTACGTATTTGAATAAAAAGTTGAAATTTTCAGACTAAAATGCAAAGAGATACGGGCTGCTTAAGGTAAGAGGGTACTTGAAAAATAATAGTATGGCAGCACTAATTACCTGCTGGTTTTGTGCAAACAAAAAACCTTCCTCCACCAACAGTACATCTAAGGAAGCCAGAATTCTGCAGATATGGCTTCCTTTCTTCCATGGCAGTAAGTCTAGCTCCCTGCAGCTATCAGGGCAGCACCCACAACCCCACAAAAGGTAGCTGAACTGAGGGTTTTCAACAGCTACCCAGGCAGCATCACAGACTCCATGTACATTGACCAGCTGCCTGTATGACCTGGGCAGTGTTTGACAGTTGAATTCTGTCTGGCCTTCACTGTGAAATCCAGTCAACTATTCAAACAGTGGAGGGACAGGGGAAGATGACAGTGGACAGAAGTCATAGGCCTAGAGCCATGCCTAAAAAGCCATGTTTTGCTAGGAAACTGTGCCAAAAGAATTCTGAAGACCTTTGGTGGGGAAATTATTCCAAATTACTGCTAGGACAGAGAAGAAATAGCAAATGTATGGGGTTTGCACTGGGAAAACAGGATGGTATAACCTTATTATCATAAAAACGTCACCTTTATGTGGAATGAAATTGTGAGTTTCAATGAATCACAAAACCAATGTCAAAATAGTATTAAAAACTAGCTCTTTACACATAGTTGCAAAGCCAGCGAGTCATGCAGTAATCAAAAATACCAGTAACACACCTACTGATCTAAACCGTTTAACATTTTATCTAACCATCTGACATTTGATGTTCAAATACCAAGCAGCAATTCCACACATACAGCCAGGCATGCCTCCACAAGGGATCCTTCCTCTCCTTTTTACCTGGGTATATTAATAAAAATGAGTCCTTCTATACTTGGTAACTCCACCTCGTGCTGGTCCACTTGCAGCTTTATGTCCTTGTGGAGGTTTCTAGTATGACTTATCTTCTGCAGCCCAACTTTCACGTAAACTCCTTTGTTGTGAAACCTAGGAGCAGACAAGTATCTTGTAAATAAAAAGTGAGGCCCAGCATACCACTCTTCTTGTACTGTCCTCTAGCAGGTATGTTTAAAGACTTTTTCAATTAGCATCCTCTTCAAATTCTTCTAGCTTTACTGCAGAAACAAAGCATAAGCCATGAACTGCTACTTTATATACCTTTTACTTAAGAGATGATTGCGCTGTCGAAGCATGTGGAGATTGTGAAATTTTATTACAGAAAAATCATCCCTTTTAAAGCATTGCCTGAATGCAATGCCTCTTTGAAATGTAAACTTCTGGGTTGGAAGATTATATTTTTAGAGGTCTTCAGGACACATTTTAAAGTGTTTTCTCATGCAATGCTAGAACACTTATGGCACAAAAACATTTTATAATCTTTGCTCATTAATTTGAAATATACTTAGCTGCAGAAACTTAAAACAGGCTTAGGAATGTTAATTTGTGACAGAGCTCTAACATCTCTAATTTTAGAATTAAAAAGATGAGGATTTTTATGGCAAAATATTTTAAGAATACCATAAACAAATGATAGTTAAACACACAGACTATTTTCTTCTATAATGGAAACGTTTGGATATATGGTCTTCAGGGCAACCTTAAAATAAGAAGCATAAATTTTCATTATTTGACCCTACTAGCACATGGGTGTCATTGGAATCCAACTCTGCAAAATCTCTCTAGCATTATGTCTAAATACTGTAGATATTCAAATGGGGAAGACAGACAGTTTAGCATGCAGGTTCTAGTCAACTCTTCAGAGACTTTTTCAGTTATTTTAAAGTATTATATTGGGAATAATTAGTCCTGTGTCCTAACAGTTTTAAATAGCACTGAATTAAAGGTACCTCATGTAACACCATTTAACATACACCTCTCCTCCAGACAAGACAGTAACACGTGTCTATGCTAAGAAAGGTTTTGTCTAATTTGGATACAAATGAAAAATACTGGAATATCACTAGGAAACATAATACTTTAAATATCCCCAAGGAGTATTAATTTTCATTGCGTGAAGCAGAAAGCCAGCAGAAACTGAAAGAATACAACACAGTGCCCTAACTGCAGAACACTGGTCTAAAACAACTGTAAACCATTTCTAAACGTGCATTAAATTGTGCAGAATATTCTCTCCTGCCATTTTGGATGGCAGAAACAAGATGTGGCCTCTTCTGTGATAGGCCATCCTAAAGACTGCTCCAGTGGGAATGACTTGGATGAAGGGGTAGATGCCTTCACTGCTGACACAAAGGTTGGAGGAGTGGCTGATACCCCAGAGGGCTGTGCAGCCCTTCAGAAGGATATTGACAGGTTGGAGAGTCGGGCAGAGTGGAACTGTCTGAAATTCAACAAAGGCAGGTTCAGGGTCCTGTACTTGAGGAGGAATAACCCCATGCACTAGTACAGGCCTGGAGAGCAGCTCTGTGGAGAAGGACCTGGGGGTCCTGGTGGACAACAAGCTGTCCATGAGCCAGCAGTGTGCCCTTGTGGCCAACAAGGCCAATTGTATCCTGGGGTACCTTAGGAAGAGCCTTGCCAGCAGGTCGAGGGAGGTGATCCTGTCCCTCTATTCAGCCCTGGAGAGGCCACACTGGGAGTGCTGAGATCCAGTTCTGGGCTCCTCAGCACAAGAGAGACAGGAGCTCCTGTCCAGTGGAGGATAATAAAGATGATCAGGGGACTGGAGCAACTCTCTTATGAAGAAAGGCTGAGAGAGCTTGGCCTGTTTAGCCTTGAAAAGAGATGACTGACGGGGACCTCATCTATGTGTGTAAGTATCTGAAGGCTGGGTGTGAAGAGGATGGACTCAGGCTCTTCTTGGTGGTCCCAAGCAATAGGACAAGAGGCAACAGGCAGAAACTACTGCACTGCAAGTTCCACCTGAATATGAGGAGGAACTTCTTAACTGTGTGAGTGACCTTGCACTGGAACAGGTTGCCCAGAGAGGTTGTGCAGTTTCCCTCACTGGAGACATTCAGGAACTGTCCGTACACAATCCTGTGCCATTTGCTCTGGGATGACCCTGCTTGAGCAGGGAGGTTGGACCAGATGACCTGGTGGTCTTTTGCACCAGGTGGTCTTTTCCAGCCTGACCCATTCTGTGATTCTGTGAATGAAGGCAGATGTCCTGATCATTAAATTTTACACTGTGAAAAGAACTCACACAGCTTGGCACTCAGCAATGCAAAAACCATCACTGTCACAACATACACTATTTTTATCTGCCCTGCAATGCAAGTTCAGCATTAAATTCCCACAGGGAAGTCATCACTGCACTTTGAGCTGCTAGCCTGAGCACATAAAGAGACTCCACTGAGTGAGGCAAGAGAGCACACAGCTTTTGGGACATTTTCCATTTTAAGGTCTTGCTTCACAAGAGCACTCAAGCCCGTATTTCTTCCAAGGACTACCTGGAATTTCTGCTGCCACAACCTGAAACTTCCTGTTCTGCACTCAGGAGCAGCCAGTTCACATGCCAGCAGCTGCTGCATCGGATACCCTTTTTAGTTAATTTACTAAAAATAATTTTAAAAAAGCGCTAATAATGCTGACAAGACTGTGCACTTGCTTACCATGGGAAAGTGAAAAGCCAGCCCTTCTAACAGTCATTGTCACAGGCAGTCAAAGGTAAACATCATGTGTCAGCACTGTTAACCTGCACAAGCTGTTTGCCTTCTGTGAAAACGTACCTCAGTTTCAATAATTATTTCATATTTCTTTTCCAGAAATATATAGCCCTTCAGATTTGAGGGAGGGGAAGGGGGAATCATTTCTTCTTTCCCACAAGCCCTTCAAGAATGGTACCAAGTCACTGCCCACTGAGCTGCAGGTGCTGCACACTGGGACTGACTGAGATAAAGATTACAGGGATGAAAAGCACATAGGACAATAGAAATCAAAGTATAACCCTTATATGCAGTGGCAATAAGAAAAGGACATATCTTTTAAGTACTGTTGCTTTGCAAACACAGAGGAGTTTATTCTGAAGAAAGAATGAAGATAACTCTTACATTATATTAACTGCAAAAGAAAATCTAGAAAAGTTTCATATACTAGAACAGGCACTGCCACACACTAACTTATTGCCTGATTTTACTACCTATGATGTCTTTAATGCAGTTGACTGAAAATGCAAACCAGTGCCTAATAGTAACCATAGAAACAATATCTTGTGTTATTCAGTTTTTAAGAAAAACACCATGAGCAATGCCTGTAATGACAGACAGAACATGGCAAGACAGGTGGGATTACACATCATTACACTCATAACCAGCTGGAGGATATTTTTAATAGCTTGAACACTGCACACTTGTAACTGACTGTAACTCTGGCAACCAAGACACAAATTAGAGGACATTTAATCATAGAGGAAAGCAGACAAAACAGCTTCTACAAGCAATTACGGATTAATTACACAATTGTGATTTCTTTTGCTCATCAATTTGAGTGATTATGAGAAGAAAAAAAGTCCCATTATTGGTTGATCTGCATGCCAGAAAGGAGCTGCTAGCTCTCTCTCAATACCTTTTTAATAACAGCCTCACTTGAGATGGAGATTTTTCTTTATCTTTAACACCAGCATGCAGGTGCTACCACAGCACTAAGCAAGGGTGTAAAAGGTACAGAAGTTCTGAAGAAGTTTTGAAAAGACTTTTAGCATGAGATATTTCCACTATCTCAAAATTTCACTGAACTCAATTTCACTCAAAATTTCACTGAACACTGCAAACTAAGAATACTAAATAACAATGACATGGCTTCCAAAAACTGCTTTGGTGCTCTCTCTTTGCAGAGGAAAAACCCCACATCAAAGCAAACAAAATTCTGTGCCTACAAGTTCCTGGCTAACTTAATTCCTCCTGTCCTAGCTCTGCCTCAAGCAATATTGATTTGTAGATAACTGTAGCATTTAAGATTATCAGCTGTAGTGTAAATTGGAAGTAATGCAACACCACAGAGCTGATCTTCACACCTGGTTTCCCCAGGATTACCTGCTATTAAATTTCCCTGGTTCTTCTTCTCTAGCATGATGGAAGTCCAAGCTCAACTCTGCATCAATGCCAAGACCACAGTAATTGTTCATCTGTACAATCTGATAAAAAAGAAAAAAAAGGTTTTATTTCCTGCTTACATTCATAAATGAAGAAGTTCCAAAGTTTTTCAACAAAAGCAAGCTTTGCAGATGATCCTTCCAAGTTACTTGCATCTTGCTAGATTCTGGAAAACATTTTCCAGAAACACTGCACTAAAAATAAAGCTGTAGGAAAAACTGCTGATATGCAGTCATTATTTCCAAAGTATCAGAAACTTCAAAGTTTAATCTTAATCAAAAGTGACAGGCATAATAAGGCAGAAATAAAAACTAATGCAGAAATAAAACCAATCAACCTCTCAAAGCAATTCTTCACAAAGAACTGGACAATAACTTCACAAATTGCTGGACACTAATGCCACTATTATTTTTGGCATCAACCATGGATTTGTCATTACATTGCTAGAAGATGCTCTTCCTTACTTTGGAAGGTGACCAACTTACATCAGAGTGTAGAACTTGACTTCACCTACTCAGCTGTGTTTTATATAGCTCCCTATATGCCAGTCTCCAGTTTCTACAGATTTCTACCATTTCTACCATTAATTCTTCCTTTGCATGCCATAGCTTTTTTATCCTAGTCCTTGACTCTCCCACCCTTCACCTTTAAAAAGCAGATTAGGCACCCAGGGAAAAATCAACCCCCATCTCCACCAAGTGAAAAATAGCTGGAACCTGAGTAACTTAAATCCTCCAACTGACTCATAATGCCTAGGATTTTCCAGTGACCAGACTAAAGGCTTAGATAATTGCTACCATCGTTACAATTTCCTCCTTTTTTTGTCACTCCCTTGTCCAATTTCTTCTTTTTGTCTGAAGACAGACAGAACCAGGATTCACATACAGCTCTGAAAGTCAACATCTACAACCAACATTTTTATTTTCCTCAATAGAAACAAGTTAATATGAACCAAGGAACAGTGACTTTCATTCAAAAAAGTGCAAATAATGGATGCCACATATACAGACATGCAGTGGCAGTAAGATGGCAGAAAGATTTACTTCCTGTATATGCTAGGAACAACTAGTAATTTCTTAAATTGTGAAAGGAAAGATGAGAGTACCTTTTGAGGAGGGGGGTCTTTTTGGGTTGACACTCCAGTTTTACAAGTGTTCTGGAAAGTGTTTGGCATTTTTTCCAAACCTTTCTCTTATTTGAGAAATAATTTTCTCTCCAGCTGAAGCAGACAGGTATGCCACTGCCATGTGAATCTTTTCATTAATCCTCTATCAGATGCTTTTTGCCAAACAGCTATGAAGCAGTCAACCAGTCCTGCCCAGACTGAAACACTAGATCCAGATGTTGCTGTATTCACTAAGAAACAGCTCAGTGAGGCCCAAGCGCGAAGCCAAGTGAGCAAAAAATTAAACTATGTTAATATCCATCATCCTTGTGGTTTTTGATAGAACAACAGTTCCTAAGAATCAAACCCAAGTGGTACTCAGCTCACCTTTGGAGGCTCAGGTTCTCCAATGCCATTCTCTGCACCTTCAGCCGGCTCTTCCGCATCCAAAAGGATAGTCCAGCGGTCCATAAGAACATCATCTGCCTCATCCACAGAAACCAAAATGGAGTATGGGTCCTCCCCACTGTAGCCAGCTCCCCAACGCAAGACCCTCCCCAGGTCATTACCTGGGCAACAACAAAGAATGCCAAATTAAGACTGTACTTCACAATTAGAGCATCAGCCCTGTTCTACAAACCACATCGCATTAAGGTGCTCCAAACAAGTCATAGTCAGTTTGGAACAAAAAGTCAACAAGCAGAAAAAAATATCTAACTTTTGTTGTGATTGCATGTGTGCTTACCATTACATACAGACACATCCTCATCTGGAATGTTTTCACACACACAAAAAAATGGAAAAACCTGTTACTGAGTTAAGATGTCAGGGAGCAACTGAGTTCACTGGTTTGGAGAAATGGCTGATGGTTGTCAGGAGGAGAATATCTTGCTGTCTTCAACTCCTGCCCACTCTCATATACCCAATACACTTTTTCTGCTTGCTTTTCCTTCAGAAAGCATGGCTGATATTTCCTTGAAAAGCTGATACTGCAATTTACCCTCCAGCACCAGCCAGCACCGATCACAGCATCTCTGCTGCAGAACTGAGTTCTTCGTCAGAAAGAAAAATAAAGATAAAGCTTCTGGAGGACTTCTGCCCTTGGAAGAGGAATGGTTCTTGCTGTGATTCTCACCTGTTCCTAAAGGTAAGATGGCAACGGAGGGCTCTGAGCACACCAGCTTGTGCCTGATTTCCTCGAGTGCACCAAGGACCCAGCCAACGGTGCCATCCCCTCCGCACACCAGCACTCGGAAGGAGGGGACTTTGGAGAACGTGTGAAACCTTCATTGTAGAACAAAGCACATGGGAAAACGAATGTTACAATGTAATACAGGAACTGCGAAGTCTCCTAACATGCTATTTAAGATAACACGGTATTATTGGAATTCTGCCCCACGCCCCACTTTACCATCTGTTTCAGGATCAACTTCAACAAAGTGAGTGGAAAAATAGGGCATTTTGGATACAGCTGTATTTAAAAAAAAAAAAAGAAAACCCCACATTCCTCTAAGATTCTTCACTCCTCTTCAAGAGTTAAATGGTTAATCACTTCCATTTTCAAAGGCACAGAGATCTAACTAGTCATCATTTCAGTGTGAACATCTATAACTCTTTAAATCCTAGAGGAGACGTTGATTAGTGGTGGTGTTTTTTTACTCGGTCATAGGAATCACAGTACATTTTCTTCTTCACAGTACTGTTTTCCTGGTGACTCTTACCTTTTGTGGTTTTTCATCCCACATACAAAGATATGCAAAGGAATTTTTATTTCCCATTGCGCAAGTAGGAGCATTTTGCTGTAAAGCTACAGAAAGATTCCAAGGCCAAAACCAAATGAACTAATTACTGAAATTGAAGCTTGAACTGCTTTAGAAAGACAACAGAATTATACAGTTCTGAAAGAAAAATTAGTTTGGGTAATTTGTTTATCTTGCCTCCTGCATAAGCTGCATTTCTTCCAACAAAGCTTTTGTTCTGAAGATCTTGTCCTGACAGTTTTTTATTAAAGCAGTGCTGAAGAAATGAGGAACAGGCTACAAGCATCACTTTCAGTTTTATGAAGCTGGTAACAAAGTGTGGTTGATTAAATCAAGTCACCAGTTCCTGCCGCCCTACAAGCACATTATGTCCTGTTCCTTGTAGAAATGTTGCAGCTGTGATCAGCCAGGCTCTGTTAATTCTGTAATTGTGGCCAAGTTTCAAGAGTCAAGACAGAAAATTTTATTACACTTTCCTAGTAGTTCCCATGAAACATCAGAAGAAACAAAAGCAAAAAATCAGCTTTTGTCAAGAAATGTGCCACTTCTCTGTCCATTGCCATTCAAATGTAAGATATTTTTAATATTTATTAAAGATGTGCTATTGTAAAGGGCATTTGACGTTCCCAGGACCAGACTCTGCTAGACTTGACAGAAATCTATATATCAGGAACTACTCTATTCTCTTTTCTTTAGAGAACCTCAAAGTTTAAATCTGGTCTCACAATAAGAACCAATCAGAAGGGAGTGATCCACTGCCCTGGCGTTCAGGCATAGAACAGAAGCAGTTTAGACCTTCAAAATAAGTAAATCTAATACATCCTTTAAAAAAACATAACAATGTAAAAAATTTTTTTTAAAAATATGATGACTTACCCAGGAAGTGGGCCCCCATTGGTAAGTTCAAAGACCTGATGTGGGTTTAGCAGCTTTCTAAAACTGTACAGCAGATCTCGACCTTTCAGCCCACCGCTTTTTGGATTCACAAATACAAGAAGTGGGCAGCAATTCTGTGGTATCTTGGAAGCCTGAAAGAAAACAAGAAGAAAAGGATAAGCCAAACCCATGAATAGGAAGAAAAAAAAATTACTACTGCATCTCAGAAATATTACCTGATGCTTCCTTGATGCTTAGTAAAAAAAAAAATCCAGATTCTATAAATAAAAAGAGTCAATGTCCAGAAATGGACAGGTTAACTGCTGTTCTTGATGCTCTGGGAACTGAAGTCTCCTTAAACCCACTCCAACTACACAGTGGAGCCAACATGAAACAAAGTCATTGCAAACAGCCCTTTTTACACATTTTCAGTAAATAGTCTATGCCAAAGAACAGTGTAAGGGATAAGAGTCATGTACAATTCAAACAGAGAAAGGAGAAAGCCTTTCAATAGAAAAAGAAAAGACAGAACTTCTCCCCAAACCAGCTGAAATTTTTTTCTTTAGTTTGGTGGTTGTCTTAGAATACATGTTAATTTACAAGGCCAAAACATTTCAAAATGAGGATGTTTGGGCAGACACTGGCATGCCTCTCCCTGTAAAATAAGAGGCTGAAAGCTTCTTTAAAAAATACATAATTAAAGCTTTTGTATCAGGAGGGTTTAATCAAGAGTGCCAGTATCTTACACTCTACTGAAGCTGCTGCTGAAAGGGCTCTCAAAGCATGGCCATGCTGCAGGGGAGTCTGGTACCCATCCACAAACCACTGCAAAGGAAGCCACTGGACATGGCAGAGGTGGGATTTCCTGGGGCACTCCAAGGACTGCACAGGAACTGCACTTGCAACTTCGCTGGATGTCAAAACTTCCAGCCAATAGAAGCACCCCCTTGGGGCTGGTTTTCAGCCAGCCAGTCTGCCCACAAGTCATTCTGTAAAACGACCTGTAAATAGTTCTAGAAAGATCAGAAGACTCCGGCACACTGTTCATCTGTCCTGCCACGGGGCTGGGGGCAGGTACGTGCCAGAAAAGTTCACTGGACCTTTCAACAAGTGCTCTTCAAAACAGAAACGTTTGCCACAGTCCCTAAGTTGTGATAATTTGTATTTACACATTGGACAGGATTCAGAGAACAGCGATTTGTCACGCAGCTGACCAGATGGATTCAGGGAACAGAACAACAGTGCTAAATATAAGTCAATTTAGACAGGAATGATTCAGGGGGCGGTGAGGCAGCAGCATGACCGCAGCATGCAAGCATGTGGAGAGATACCAACAGCTACAGAGAGGAGGAGACAGCACCCAGAGAGCCTGTTGACTGCTGTCTGTGAGCAACCAACAGAGAGCATGATCTGAGGTGAACAATGGAGAAATCAGGACAAATTCATGAGTTAAGTTTATGGGGATGCAAAATGGGGTCTGACACTGAGCTACCCCAGACCATCATCTGCCTGTGAGCTGATATAGACACTTAAAAACGAATGTTTGTTTGGGGCTTCACAGTACTTGAGAGATTTCCTCTAATCTTCCTTTCTTAAAATAGCTGGCTGCTAATCCTCTGCAAGTCACACCCTGCCAGATGTGTCAAGATACCCACAAACACATAAAAATCCCTCTCCTCTAACACTGCCTGCAATGCTCTCTGTTATCCAGTGTGAATTGTCCCTTGAAAAAGAGAAAACACACTGGGAAGAGGAACACTAAGCAAGTAAGAAGGCTGGTGGAGCAGGCACACACTTCTCTTACCCCTTCGTTCCCTATCCTTTAGATTTTACTGGAGACATTCACTTTGAAAAGACATCTGTTCTCTTGAAAAGTAAATTAGCCAAACAAGGCCTATTTTGGGGGACAAAGAGCCAAAAGATCCTCACAATTTTGTTTTACTGGAAAGGTTCCACTGCTGGCAAAACAAGCAGGTTGGTGAGACAGAGGCTGGAAAGCTGTGCACACAGCTTTCTCCAAAGGAACCACCTTCATGCTGAACTGTGACAACTGAGGTCAAAACACCTCTTGCCTCTATATTCAGATATTATTGGAAAGGGAGAAGCAATTACTCAAAGCATGTCCAACACATAAGAAGGGTAATACAGTCATTTCTGTTAAGCACATGAAAAGGATTACTTGTAGACAGCAAAAGAAGTCTGTGGAAAACAATGCATGCCGCTGTCACAAAAAGGAAGGACTTCTTGAGTATTAAGGTTAACAGCTCAAGGATCTACACAACCCAAAGAGACAAGTGGATTTCCTCCCCTTGAGCCATTCCAGGCATTAATGAAAGAGTAAGCAGAGTTCTGGTTTTTCCAGAAATAAAGGCTATCTTGTTACTCCACCAGTTCCTGCACCACCATCCGCCATATCCTGCCTAGTCCTTTGACAATCACAGAATCGTCAAGACTGGAAGAGACCTTTAAGATCATCCAGTCCAAGTGTCAGCCTGGCACTGCCACTGTGATCCCTAAACCACTAAATATTGTATCACCCAGCACTAGAACACCTCCAGGGACAGTGACTCTACCACATCCCTGGGCAACCTATTCCAATGCCTGACCACCCTGACAATGAAAATGTTTCTAATTTCTAATCTGAATCTCCCCTGTCTCAGTTTAAGGCCATTTCCTCTTGTCCTTTCCCTGCAGGCACGGCAGAAGAGACCGGACCCCACCTGGCTATAATCTCCTTTCAGGTGCTTGTAGAGAGGGATGAAGTCCCCCCTGAGCCTCCTTTCTTGAAACTAAACAAACCCAGCTCCCTCAGCCATTCCTGGGCGCTTCACGAGCCTTGTTGCTGTTCACTGGACACGCTCCAGTATCTCCCTGCCCTTTTTTAAGTGAGGGGCCCAGAACTGAACACAGTAGTCGAGGTATGGCCTCACCAGTGCTGGGTACAGGGGGAGATCACTTCCCTAGTCCTGTTAGCCACACTGTTCTCAACACAGGCCAGGACACCATTGCCCTTCTCAGCCACCTGGGCACACTGATGGCTCATGCTCAGTTGTCTGCTGACAGCATCCCCTTTTGTGATGAGCCACTTCCTAGCCACTCTGCTCCCAGCCTGTAGAACTGCGTGGGGTTAAATCCCACAAGCAACAAAAGGCAGAGCAGCTCTGAAAGGAAACATCATGTCCCATGGGGTAACAGAGCAAACCGTTCCCTTCCTGCACTCTTTGTCCGGCTTCTACTCTGCCCTGCCTTCCCTCCTGACCATACCCCATTTCTTCCTCTTCAGAGCTTTTTTTACTACCTAAATATCATCTCCAGCCATTTCAATTTTCTGAACAATAACGGCAACCTGAAACCTCAGGCTTGGTCTAATGCCTGGAAACTCGCAGGCTTTGAAAAATGGGGGTTAAAGAGATAATAAAAAGAAAAAATACTAAGTTCTGCAGCTCAAAGTAAATAAAAACTTTTCCAAAAAAGAATGAGAGAAAAGAAAACAGCCCAACAATGAAGTCCAACAATTGCCTTACTTGAATGTGACAGGAATATTTGATTATCTTCTGGTTTTAAGGAAATCAGTTTCTAAAAGTATTGGTTTGGGACATATAGAAGTGACATGTTGAATATGTGTTCTATATTACTTACTTTTCCAGGCAAGTTCTAATGCTCTAGGTTTAAAACCAAGTAACTAAAATAATTCAAATGGAACTTCAGGGAATTGCAATGATTTTTGAGACATGGTGAACTCTAAAGTATTCAAAAGCACAGCTGTGTTTAGTAAAGTCATCTGAGATCTTTCCCAAGTAAATATGAAGTATTGCAATTATGTATTACAGTTTCTACAAAACTGCCATCTAAACTTCCCATCAAGTGCCAATATTGTACCCCCCCCAAAAAAAAAGAAGTTAAACACCCTGAATACTACTAAGACTCACAAGCAGCTGCAGAGAATGCCTGGAGCTAAAAAAATATCTGTATGTAGTGTATACTGAGCAGTCCTACCACTCAAAACTACTCTCATTCAAGTATCTTCTGATGTAAATTCCTAACTATACTCATTTAGTACTAGATGCACCTATGCAGAATAAAAAAGTGTTCTAGAAAGTGCTTGCTTCCTATCATGACTCTTCATTAAGCTTAAAGGAGTAATAAACACTGCTAAATCCCTAGATAAAGGCCAGCTTCTAAGAAAACAATTATCTTCTGGTGGGGGTTAAAAACTCTACAGTGGTTTGTACAGCAAAGCAGGGCTGCTGTAGAGCTTTCTCAAAAGTACACTCTCTGTTACAATTACAGATGGTCACAAGGGTAGCACCTTTATGCTGCAGAATCTTTTTAAAACCCTTAGTAAAGCCTCACTGGGGACATACAAATGAGTTTGTTACAGGGCAGAAGACAGTGTGTGACTCACAGCCTGAGGACTCCCTTCCCCCTTTAGCGCTGGCTTCAGTGCTCTGCTTGAGGAGTGAAATCTGCAGAGGGGTTTTGTGTTGGCTGGTGTTCAGGAAGGAATTTATTGCTCGTTTCTTAGAGACAGTCTGTGTGATTTAGACACTCTGACAGTCACCCTGAATTGCTTAATTTGTCAGGATTAGCACAACACGGCTTCAGGTTGGGGCAAGATGTTTATCATCTGCACTAATCCCCTTTCTGTTGAGTGTACTGTGTAATCACATCTCACAACAAAGCAGAACAAGGCGTTCTGAGCCACAGGCCTACCAGCATGACAACCGTGGCACATCTTCCAGTGTGGTGGGCTGTCTCCAGGAACTGCAGATATCTCTAAGTGCCAAGTAAAATTCAACATCTGCAAGTGGGATGCCAGCAGCACATCCCATTTGAAAGGACTCATGATGGCCCAAGCACAAACTGCCTCCACCCTGGCCAGAAAGGTCTCATTATCTCATGAGGAATTATGTGCAAGGTGTCTCTATGCATCTGGAGCAGCAGCTGGGTCAACTCCCAAGCTTTTTCTTTACTTTTTTGGCATATTGCAGAAATGGAAGAATCATAGAATCATTAAAGATGGAAAAGACCTGCAAGACCATCCAACCTTTGGTCACCACTTTGTCAATTAGACCATGGTACTAAGTGCCATGTCCAGTCATTTCTTGAACACCTGCAGGGATGGTGACTGCACCACTTCCCTGGGCAACCCACTCCTGTGCTTGACAGCCCTTTCATTGAACGGTGAAAAGGGTGACAGCCTTTCAAAGGGGTGAAAAGTAATCTTCCATGGTGTTTTGGCAAAAAGGCTCATTAAACTATCATGCTTTTAAGTTGTAAGTATTTGTGTGAGGAATTAGTGGAACGAATAAAATGGAATTTTCATCTATTTAGGAATCTCCCACATCTTTTTCTATTACTCTTAAGGAACCTAAACATAAGAGGGTACTCCACTAGTAAAAGGCATTAGTGATAAAGGCACAAAAACATGTGCTGGTATTGGCCTCATACAACTCTCTGTTGACTTTCTTTCTTGCCAGTGCTGCAAAAGAAGTTCTAGTCAATTAACTCTGAATTCAAAGATTAAGCCCTGCAAGGTCTGTCATCTTGGCATGATACCAAAGAATGAAACCAGACTGTCCCTGCAGTTCCTCACACAGAGCAGCTAAATAGCTTTGTAAAATACTGTATTTTTTTCACACTCCAATTAAGAGAGTATTTTCATTTATTTGAATATTGTGAAATGAAAAAGTGTTTGATTAAATTCTTAAGGGTCTGAAACAGCAGAACAGATCAACACATCTGATAGCACTAACTGCTTGACTTTCTAATAAGCAGTTGGTACAAACTGATTCTGCATTCAAACTTTGCAGTAATGGTAATGTGAGGGTGAATTGCTTCTGGTAGACCAGATTATGCCAGCCTAGAACTGTGCCTCCTCCTTAGAAGGTATTTCAGACACAGAGTAAGTAAATCTCACCTCAGAAAAATGAACTAGCAGCTTGCTAACCACCAATTTACTTCAGTACTTCTATCAACTTTTAAAAAGGGCCGTTTTATTGTTGGTGGTTGTTTTTTTTTTCAAATGTAAATTGCAGTTTGCAAAAATCATTAGCCCTTCATTCCCAGTTTCTTTGTATTTCACTCACAAAAGGAATGTCAAACACAGTGTAAATTTAGTATTGTGCTCAGTTCCTGTGTATTTCCTGGTACTGTATTTAAATGATCACATCTATAAACAAAGGCTAATAGTATCACAGGATAGAAAATAGTCCAGGTTGGAAAGTACCTCAGGAGGTCATCTAGTTCAGTTGCTACCCAAAGCAGAGTCATCAATCACTCATTAGCTTACCCTGAGTAACTAGTGAATGGCATAAGCTGGGTGGCCAATTCATATAAAAACAACACTTCAAGTATCATTTAGGCTAACTCTTGTCTTATTTCAGTGAGATGACCAAATATAAACAATACATGCTGAAATGGAAGTAGAATGTCTGTGCCCATGTACAGTCCCTCTCTCCTTCTTACACATTCGAAATTAATCCCTAGCCGTCCCCTGGAGTTTCTAAAAATATCTTGCACCAGATAACAGTTAATATTATCCACATTTTCCTGACATCAAGAAGTTCACTTCAAACACATCCAGTCTCAGAAAAACAGACACATGTAATCAACAGAGTGGAGTATATTCAACTTCACACACCAGACACCAAACATAGGCTCATGATGCATTTGCCTGAAAAACACCAAAAACAAGTATCCAAAAGCAATTCCATCTTCATAATGCCTTCTGTTTCTCATAACAGGCACTGTGAAACCTAGTTTGGACGAGGTGGGGCCTTGGTTTCTAAGGATTTCATAAAACATAACTCCTGTGTATGCGTAAGAACAAGGAGGGGGGACAGCTTTTAATCTTGCCAGTTGCATCTAAGCACTACCCCTAGTATCTGCTCATACAAAAAAATAAATTTGCCTTCAGAAAACTTTGACAAGTGTAGCACTCATTTCTAAATGGTAAAAGCAGGTATGTAAGCAAGCAACTATGGCTACTAAACTCGAGACCCTCCCATCTAAAGCTGTTTCATAATTCCCATTAATTATGTAATTTTTAAAAGCTTTTGACATTCTGTGAAGTTCCAAGAAGTCAAACCAAGACTCTCACTTCACTTGGCATAATGCAACTCCAGAAAGATAGTGAATTGCAAGATACAGAACAGCTGAGCAGAAACTAACTATGGCAACACTCTCTTTTGGACAGAACCTACATCATATCCTGGCTAAAAATATCACTTCACTCAGTTAATAATTTCTCTCTTTTCACCTTGACTCTACTTTCTTAACATGAAGCCTATTATCAAACCAACTGATTCATATAAAAGTGATTTGTAACCATAAAAATTAATAAATCAGAATCAAACCTGAATTTATCAAAGACTCTTCCACTAAGTTTTTCGAAAGACTATGTTCTTCTGAAATCCACAAAGTCTGAACAAGGTCAGACTCCCTCTGCTACAGAATGGGGAAACAAAGATACTGTAAATGTGAAGATAAGCAATAGTACTTTACCTCATGGTTAGTGAGGAAACACATTTAGTCCCCCAAATAAAATTGTTGTAGACATTTTCAGACATGCCAGCTAAAACTAAAACACCACCAACTTTTTCATCATTGAAAGAAATAAAAAGGGGAAAAAAATTGTTTTTCTCCCCTTTATAGTTGCATAGTTAGGCAGTTGTATATTGATAATTCAACAGTAAAAGGACAAGTGATTTAAATCACAAAAGTATATCATTATGTCAAGTACAGGCTCTGAAGGATTTTTTTTTCATCACACTACTTAGAGAAAATCACTTATGGCCTCTTTAAATAAAAAGTATTTTCATTTAGTTCCAGCAGAAAGACTTTTAGGGCAGTTGTTCAAACCCATCTCTTACCATAACTTCAGGAATCACCACAGCATTCAGAGGCTTGTCATTGATAACAGTATCTTTAACTAGCATATATATTCTTTCAGCTTCAGAAAAACATGAAATTTGGAGTACAACAGCACCTGTAAAGAGGCATCAGAACTATTTTTTATATTTTCTATTATTATCGGAAATAGGTCTCATACATCACAGCAAAAGTTCACTCAGTTTACTCAGAACATTATTCAGCAAAAGTTACTCCACGGTTGTTTGTTATCAGTGAATTGGGCTGTTCTGTTTCCAAAGCTTCCTTCAAAAGCCCAAAACACACCTCAGATTTTTGTTAAAGCAAAGTAGTTTGAAGACAAGCAAGAACTGCAGCACAGAACTGATGCACATTTAAAGACTTCCTTTGAGCTTCAGAGGCAGGCAGTATTTCCATACTCTTTATCACAACTAATATGCTTTTCTCATCATGTACAAGTGACAAAGGTATCAGGTTTCATTCTGTATCTCATTATTAAAAATCCATTAGTTCCATTCATTAACAGTATCTCTGTAAGAATTACTGCAAGGAAAGATTTGGTTTGAGAATCAGTTTTAGATCTTTATTTTGGCTTAGGTCCTGTACAAGGAAATTGGGGAAGAAGGGAAGACAAAAGAGAAAGATAAAATGAAATAAAAATAAAATAAAGTACTGTTAAGTTAGTTTAAAGTGAGAGACTTAATGAGGAAGAAAATGGGGCAGGATAAGATCAAAGTGCATAACAGGCAGCATATGAGATGTAAACTGGTCACATAACCTGGGTGCAATGAAAAGGGAGAGTCAGGAAGTTATAAAAAACACAAAAATACAAACTAAAGGAAGTGACAATAAAAAATCACATACAAACAGAAACATCTAAAAAACTCATGCATGTAAATTTGGTTCAATGAAGCTGTGACGTGAGAAGAGCATCGCAAATCCAATTTTTCTCCACTAAGAAATATTAAAAGGAGAAGGCACATCTGAAAGCTTTATAGTTTTCCTTATGAAAAGTATTAATTAGCCACGTGGAGACAGCAAATACACAAAGGAAGCACACAACAGTCTTCAAAACCATGATATGGAAAGATCCATTTAGCAGACATGTGAAATTTAAGCCTGCCAAAGGATGTGAAACATCTCAAATATAGATGCCTAAACACACAAAAGAGAAAATTCCACACTTCTGAGTTTTACCAAATGCAGATCTCCATCTGACCACTGCACTAAAGCTGCCCTGAGCCACTGCTGCTCCAGCTCTCAGAAGCCACACGGCTTCTCCGACCTTGCTGAAATAAAATTCGTACAGCAAAAGCTCAAAGGATGAACAGAGATGAACGTATTTATCTTCTACAACTTCCAGCTAGCTATTAACACTCTGCTAGGAAACAGTGACTGTGAAACAATCCCATTGAGTCCAAAAGCACTACCAAACTTCAGTATTTTAGAAGTCAAAATAAAGAGGGAGCACCTGAAGGGTTTTCATCAGTTCTGTGGTGTTAGATTGTTCAGCTGAAGTGCAACTTCAAACCTCATTTTTATGATGAAATATTACTACCTTCTGGTACACAAGGCATGAAGCCAACCTTTTAACTTTTTTTTTAATGAGGTAACACTAATCCACTGCTCTTCATAAATACAATGTGTTACATTCTACCTGAAGGGTTTTTTTGGTTATGCAGTAGAACTAACATACTCTGAGCTTCAAACCTCTAGTATTAGGCTGCAGTTTTGAAAACAGACATAGTTTGTAAGAGTAAAAATCTTAATGCTTACCTTGTGCTTGATAAACATGACTCACAGATACTACATTTGCTGCAAAGGGTAAAAATATAAACACATAAAACCTTGGGTACATTTAGAGTAAATATTTAAAGTATTTTTAAAAGTTACATAAATACAATATAAATAAATACTAAAAGTTATACAAATATAGGGAGAACCTCCAGCTCACATTTTCCCTCTCCTAAGTTTACTTTGCAAGTAAGAAAAGCTAAACTGATTTTCACAAAAGGTGACTATGAATTCTTTCTAGCATTTTAAGTTTAATTCCTCTTGAAGTTACATAAAAGATTGGGAAAAACGCTTCATTTCCCGAAACAAAAACCATGATGCATTCCTGACACTGTTTATAGAAAGCTTTGGTTGAAGGACTATTACGAAAAATCAATTACACTTCTTTGAAAAAGAAAAATAAATTCTTTTCCCTGATTCCATATATGTGTGCATATATGTGCTTGCCCATATATGTGTACAAACACTGCTCACACTCCTCCATGACCAGACACAAAGTCCAAGAATAATGTGGAGAACAACCCACACAAAAAGTGTCAGAGGTTAATAAAGGAAAGGGACATTCATGTACAGGGAATTAAACTGCACTGGCATAATCTGAATGGTTTAAGGTACGTACAGTTCTTCAAAAGAGTGAAAAGCTTTTCACTCAGAAAAAAAAAAGCCTCCATGAGAGTACAAGGCAGAATAATTTTTTAAATAAGGTCAGAAAAAATCTAAAAAAAAAATAAATAAAAAGGAGCAATAGATGCTACATTTTGTTCTGTACAAGTTGAAGTATGTAAAAATGCACCTGTTTACTTACTTTTGATAGCTAATTCTTCCTTGAGAATATTTGTGTATTCTTCAGCAGAAAGCTGAGGTGGAAGGCCACCAACAAATAAATTTACTTGCACAACGGATTTACTGTTTTCCACAATGTAAAATCTTGTTTGATTCATCTGACGTATTGAAGTCTACCAAAATAAAGGAAAATAAATGACGTGACATTTGGCAAAAAGACACCGTGAAACAAAATCCAAAACAGTTCTGCACTTAGCAATCACATCCTCTATGCCTAAAGAATATCACAAACAGAAGCAAACCTCAAGATCTTAGCTTCTCTACAGCTTGGGGGGTAAATGGACACTCACTTTTTCTGTAAGAAAGGGGACTCTCTATAAAATAAAAGGATCGTGGTTGTGGTTTTTTTTTTTTTTTTTCAGATTTACCTTTCGTATGTCCTTGAATCTGTTAAGAATCAGTTCCTGATTGTCCAAAACCATGCGCTGAACTGGAGACAGCAAGAACATTGATGATGTTAGAAAGGAATGTAAATTATTATCAGGCTCAATTAAACACACAAAAAAAAAGAAAGAAAGAAAGAAAGAAAAAAATTAGGGAAAAAGTACAGCTCTGCATATAACTAACTTCAACAAAAAAGACCACGGTGACCTGAACTACTCATTATTCAACAGAAAAAACACTTAGATGCTTGGAACAGTCTGAGCTTTTTCTCAGTTCCTAAACACCACCCTCCTTTAAAGAAAGGCAGAAACAGCCTGGACCTACTCAAAATACAAGCAGTACTTTAATTAACAGTCTAAACTCCTTGACAGAAGATCTTAAAACTATATTCACTAACAGCTACATTAATAACCTACTCCTGTGTTTTATCAAAATACTAAAAGAATTCTAACAACTTCCAGTCAAAGTAAGTTTGCAAATGATACTTTAAAATCGAGCACCAGAAACCAACCAAGGTTAAGGCATTCACAAGGCTACAATAACCTTACAAAACAACTGCCTGATAATGCTCACACATAAAGAAAAGTATCGAGCCAGTTCTTGAACTACAAAGCTATGGTCAGAGATCAGACTACTTCAATGGCTTTATTTATCTCTCTGTACAACCTTAGGAATACTGAAGCACAAAGGGATGTAAACTTGGAGAACACCAGCACAGCTCCTGCAGGATCACAGAACACTTGAGCAATGCCAGGACTGCAGATTTCTGTACTTCCTAACACACACACATATTATTTGGACTATCTATGGACTATCTTAGGACTCAAACTTACTCTTGTTTGGGGGTTGTGTCAGGGGAAAGAAGAGAGACGGAGGGAGTCATTTGAACTTTAGAATTAATCTTTAATAAATAACTGCAATTATGTCAGCTCCCCAAAACAGGACAAAGTGTCAACACGCACCAGAAACCACAAGTAAATTTTTATGTGAGAACAGAGAAGGGAACCTTATTCTCAGAGGACACACAAAACTGAGGAGCACCAGCATCACTTCTGATGAAGTATTTCAACATCATTATGAAGCTTAATTTGTGTCTTTTTTTTGTAAAAAATGAACTGCAACTGCGTTGGAATGGGAAAAAAACCCCTTGAAGATCAGTTACAGATGTGCCTTTGACCAATGCTACTCCACTTACCTTGCTTACTGCCCATAAGCACTTCTACCAATTTGAAATTCTGGAGGCACTCTGTCTGCCAAAAGATGCAACATGTAAATGCAGTTTCTGAACAACATAATTTTGCCAGATGTTTACGTTATTGTGTTATACACTGTACACAGAGAGCATGAAAATTAAACATTTTTAAATCAAATCACAACGTTCTTCCTCTAACCAACTCCGTCTGAGTCAGGAATAATCTTCATTTTACATGCTCATGGCACCAGGCTCCCATGCCCTTAAATACACTGGCATCCTTGCAGCCACATTATGAAGTGGCACCTGGCCAGCACAGTTAATTCTACTCCTGCTTCAGCAATCAGCAGCTCATCCAGGGTATTTCCTGAGTTCCCTTCCAGAGAAAGCATGCAGCACTGGGAATAAACCTGCTCTTTGAGAACGTGGCCCAGGGACTAGGCTTGGCAAAAGCAGCTGACCATTCTCCCTCGCCAGGGACAACTCCACAGGCAGTGATCTCTTACATGTGCCACAGCCTCTTCTCCAAGCTTCTGCCAGACACCACTCAAGTGCCTTGCAGCTGGACCAGAAAAGCTGGCACAGTCAAGAGTTGAACCATTTACTACAATTATTGAAACCCTGAAAACATGTGACTCTGAGGGCTGAAGAAGTGCCTTAATTTGTGGCCTTGAAACTCAAGAGAAAAATCCTACATGCCACGAACGGGGGTGTTAAGAGCCTCAACTTCCTACATGTGCTTTGCCTGATATTTGATGAAAGTGACTTGGAGAGGATCTTCATCAAGGGCAAATTCTGGATATTAAAAAGAAATTTCCTGTATGCGCATCTTTTTACAGGGAAATGAGAAGAGCCTTTAAAAATTATCACTATTGGAGAAATCGCAATTGTGCCTAAGAACTGAGTCTTTTACAGCATACAGTCAGCTTCCCAAACACATAAGATGTGAAGATCTTTTCCAAACAGAGTATCCAACTATACTGTTTGACAGTTACTTTTTTCAGGTGAGACAAAATTTTGCAGACAGTTGTTCAAATTCTTATTAAAAGGTCCACAGCACTTGAGGAAATGGACTGTCAACAAATCCTAGAACTATGCTACGGTGCAAAACAAGCTGCCTGCATTACACAGCTGGGTACACTGAGACAGAGATCTACACTTATCACCTACTGCAGATAGATAGCCACACGCATGTTCCTATGTACCCTGTAAATAACCATGGAAGGCAGAAGTCACTCTCTGTGAAGCATGGCTGTTCCATGGAGCAGCAGAGGTGTGTTGATCTGCTGGTGTGCTGACAAGCCCCAGCTGCTAAATGAAACGTGCATGCTACAGCTTTGGGTCTCCATTCTACTAAAATGTTTCCTAAAAGTCATGCTATTTTGGCACCAACTCTACCAAGGACAGAAGGGCAGGCAGATTGAAAAGAGACCATCTTCTGAGGAAAACATGTGCATCTACAAGAGTACAAGATGTATCTGGAATAATTTCCAAAAGAATATGGTTTTGTTTCAGCCTCAAGTCCTTCCCTGCAGTCCTTGAGGAGTACAGAGATGCTGCTTGCCACCGAAAGGAGAAAATTTCTGCAGCCAAAGCTCTACTGGAGTTCAGGTTGGCCTTGAACTCCAATTGAGTCAAGCACTGTGAAAGACAACAATAAGGGATATTGTCAATATATCACTAGCAAAAGTAAGATCAGAGATAATATTGATCTGTTACTTCATGAGGTTGGTCACCTCAAAAATAGGGATGTAAACAAAGTGGAGACATTCAATGCCTTCTTCACTTCTGTCCAACACCAGTGATGAGCTCTGGGACTCCCAGCCGACCCTGACCTTGTTTGAGACTTGCTGCTTCAGCCCAGTGCACATGAATCATTAGGGCCAGATGGAATTCATCCAGGCTACTGAAAGACCAGGACAATGTCATCATGGGACCTCTCTCCATTGTCTTTCAATGGTCTAGGGAATCTGGAAAGGTCCCAGTCAATGGCAAGCTGCTGTTCCACTGTTCAAGAAGAGCAAAAAGGAAGACCCTGTCAATCTCTTTCAGTGCCTGGTAAAATCATGGAGATGGTTATTCTGGGGAGTATTTGAAAAATACTGGAGAGACAATGAAGTCATCAGTCACAGTCAGCATGGGTTTGTGAGGGGAAGGTAGTGTTTGACAAATTTAATTTCCTTTTATGACAAGGTCACCTACCTAGCTGACCAAGGGAAGCCAGTGAATGTAGTGGGTTTGGATTTTAGCAAAGCCTTTGATACTGTCCCTCACAATATCCTGCTGGATAACCTGTCCAGAGCTAGACAAGTCCATACTGCATTGGGTGAGCAATTGGCTGATGGGTCAGGCTCAAAGCATTAGAGTATATGGGGTTACATCAGACTGGTGGCCAGTCACCCATGTGGTTTCCCAGGGCTCAATTTTAGGACCATCACTCTTTCATGTTTATATAAATTGTCTGGATACAGGCATCAAATGAACAGGAAGTGAGTTTGCTGATGATACTAAGTTGGGAGAAGCTGTGGGCTCCCTTGAGGATAGGGGACCCTTACAGGGAGATTTGCATAGGCTAGAGAGCTGGGCAATCACCAACCGTACGAAATTTAACAGGAACAACTGTCAGATCCCCCTAGGATGGGGTAAGTAAGTCTGGTTAAAAATACAGACTTGGGGAGGAGAGCTGGAGAGCAGTCCTGCAGAAAGACCTCATGGATGGGGTTGATGGCAAGTTGAATCTGAGTCAGCAGTGCCCTGGCAGCCAGGAGGGACAACTGTGTCCTAGGGGCATCAGCATCACCAGCCAGTCGAGGGAAATGATCATCCTCCTCTGCTCTGCAGTGGGGCAGCCCCACCTCAAGTACAGTGTGCAGTTTTGGGTGCCTCAATGTAAGAAGGACATCAAACCATCTGAGTGTGTCCAAAGCAGGGCGACCATGATGATGAAAAAACTCAAGCTCAGGACTTAGGAGCAGGCACTTGGCTTGTTCACCTTGGAGAAGAAGAGGCTGAGGGGTGACCTCACCACAATTAACATCTTCCTGAAGGGAGGCAGCGAAGGGAGAAGTGCTGATCTCCTCTCTCTGGTGACAAGTGATAGGACCCAAAGAAAGAGAACAAAGCTGCATCAAGGCAAGTTCGAACTAGTCATTCGGAAAAGGATGGCCGACCACTGGGACAAGATCCCCAGGGAAGTGTTCATGGCACCAAGTCTGTGAGAATTCAAGGAATGTCTGAACAATGCTGTTAGTCATACACTTTGGTTTTAAGTAGTCCTCTAAGGAACAAGAAGTTGGTCTTGGTAATCTTATGGGTCCTTTACAGCTTGAGATGTTCTGTGATTCTTTGATTTCCTTTGCAGAGCAGCACAAAGAATCACGAGACAAGCACGATCATCCTAACAGTGACTGCCAGTTTCCTAACAAGGTAAGATTAGAAGTGTGTGAACACAGTGATTCTGTGTTCATACAAGAATATCTGCTTGACCCAGAAAGACTGACGGTACCCTCCAGTACAGAGGAACTGTGCCTACCAGGAAGAATGCATAAAGCTCTGAGCAGCGTGCCAGTCACACGAGATCATCTGCCACACTAAAATCACGTACATTAACTGCAAACGAAGGAATTACAGTTCTTCTGAAGAGAAAAATATATGCACCCCACTTCAGGGTCACTCAGGTGGTATATGGACAGGCTTCAGTTATCTTCAGAAATCTTTCAGTTACCTGCCTTCCAAGTAATGGAAGCACTTCTTTGATCACAGTCTGCACCGTGCTATCCTTATTTACTCGTAGAGAAACATATGCCATTCCCACCCTAAGAGAAAAGAAATACTTATTTTAGGACAATCATTTGACCTATCCTGTGTGTACCTTTTTTACCTAGGTGTCAAATTGGCATTAGTTGAAGAAAGTTGTTCACTGAGACTCATGGCAGATGCATTATCAGTGCTACAGACAAGGAAGGGCTTTCATCTCAAGGAACTGGTAATTACAATTGTAGCACTGCAAATTAAGTTTCCTCTTATACACAAAATTACCTTTAAGTCTTTCATAAAATTTGGCAGTGTAGTTGCAACAGCAAACTGAACAAATGGTTAAATATGATCAATCCCACAGCTCTTCAGAAATGGAAAGGTCACCAGACCATTTTGTTTTCACTGCCAAATATGCTTAAAATTTATACTGTCTCAGTGGCAAATGGAACAGTTATTTTTTTTCCTTTATTTTTTTTCCTCCTAATCTCACATGGGAACTTACACTGTAGTTCTTCCTACTTCATATTTCTTAAAAAAAAAAAAAAAAAAAATCAATCAATTTTTCAAGTGACAAGTGCATGCCATCATTTGTTTACAGATATAGTTAATGTGAAGTTGCATCTTCCTGACCAAATACATGAAAATAGAACTGCAGAAGCTGTACACTATGTTCCATGCCTGTAAAGAAACCCAAGACTTTCCAGGCATGGAAATGAATAATATGCATATTACTCATTCAGAGAAATGAACAGAAGGATCCTGAAACACAGAAAAGGAAAGTACATTCTCTGCTATACTTCTGCAGCTTCAGTAACTGAAACAAACAGGGCTAGACTACAGCAGACAAATGTAGCCAAGCAGCATAGCATCAATTCGGAAAATACTCACTTTAGCCAGGCAGGATAAATTCTGATCACTTCCTCGTCCTTTGGTTTGGCTCTGATGATCCAAGCTTCAGGAACGGATTCTCGGAATACTGAGCCCAAGTTGCTGTCCTCTGCAGCATCGTTCCTGTTGATAACATCATCAGAGAGCAGCACCTGCTGCGTGAAGGTCTGCAGCTCGTACTCCTGCTGGTCATCATTTATATAGTACGCCCTCAAAGCAGCCTCCTAAAACACAGCAAGATAAATTAACATCTACTTGAAAAGACACCATTAAGACATGTGTAGCCACAGACATTTATAAATACCTTATTTGTGAAATGGACCTTTAATGCATGCTTTAAGCTCAGAGCTGTAGATAAACAGCAATGGCAAAAAACTAAAACAAGAGTGAAGTTTTGAAAACAAATTTTAGTGAGCATGAAAAAAGAAAACTTGAGATATCAATGGATTTGAACACAGTCCACAGTATTTTTGGCAAATGATAGTCATTTTAAAAACAGATATAAAAATTCAGCACCAGTAAAGCTACACTTGCTGCACAAGTAAAATGGTAAATTACATTTGATCGTGCCCAACTCTGCCTACTCAATCTTTTTGCATCAAGGGGATATAGAAAATTAGAGAGTTTCTCAGCCACAAGTCTGCCCTGAACACCTCTGAAGAGGAAAAGTAAGATCTGTCCTTGCAAGATGCATGCAGTCACAGGAATTTTACATCCATGCCCATGCCTGCAGCACCTCTGCTAACACAGATGGCTGCAGTCAATACAGCCCAGTAACTCACTTTTGAGAACTGGTATTAAAAACAGCTGTCTGATAAAATGTGCTTGAAAGGCAAGTAGCACTCCTAAATAAAAAAGTGTTTTCAGCCCTCTGCACAGTTTTCTTCAAGATCTTAGACATGCAGAACAGTACACTCCATTTTCAAAATTCCTCTTGATTTTCATCACAGCATCAAGATAAAAATCCTAATGACCTTTAGTTTTAAACTGTCAAAATTCTGAAGTAATAAATTCTCCGGAATACTCTTCCAAGTCCTTTATGACTTTGAGACCTCGACATGCTCAGTTCTCTTGTGCATCACCCCCTTCCCCCTCCAGGCTTTATTTCTGCACAGTGTGGGGTCTCTGCCTAGTACAGTAAATTACGATCTGTACAGTACACCTGATTTAGTACTGAGTAATTTTTCCACCCCAGATGGAGCAGTGGAAAAACCAGTGAGTGGCCAGTATGTGATCAATAATTCATTACTTTTCACAGCCAAGGAGCAGAGATAACTATAGTATGCTTCAGTGCTCACAGCTGATTAACTCAAGTGCAATATTGGTGGCTGTTCAGGATAAACATCAAACCACTAACTACTATAGTGAAGGAGCAAGTTATCCAGTATTGCTCACATCAGTAATATCAGACTTCAGAGTCACACAGAGAAGGAGAACGACTGCTTAAAATGTGATACACTGTGGTCCCCATAATACTAGAGATGTGTAAGCCACCCTTTCTTCAGATGCTCTAAATTAAGAGCACTACATGAAGACATTAATTACATTGTAATTAGACAGCCCATTTACAGATTTTCTTGGTTTTGATTTAGATTTGTAAAACTGTTAGCTTCTGACTACTGTAACATGCAATCATATGCCCCTTTATCACATTGGAATATTGACCTGCACCAGGTATCTTACCACAACTTCTTCATTTTTTGCAATCCTCGGAACTGAAATCAGTCGAAATTGATTGCGTTTCACTGCATCATTCCCATCAAATATCTTCAATGTTTGTTTACCTAAATGGAAACAATTACTGTACTTCAATAACACACCCACGAATCATAAAGCTACCTGAATAGAAAGGGTATAATGGAACTACTAAAAATCTGCTTTTAACCCACTGAAATGTTTCTTCTTGACAAGCTTTGAGGCTGAATATTTTCATTTCTGTTTTGTCACTGTTCATTTAAAACATGGGTAAATTCACAGAGGAAAGAGTATTTCAACTAACTATAGTTTTATCCTGGCTTTTGCTATAAGTGCTTACATATAACTATACTGTTTATGTTTCTACTTCTTCATCCTCACCATTCAAGACTGAATTTATAACTGACCAGTTGAACAACTCGAAGACTAAGACACCCCTTCAGAACAGCTCCCAAAGCACTGACAGTTCTGAGAGCATGCTTCTGAAGAAAGTCCTCAAAATAGCTGGTTAATTGTACAGGTAACAGGAGAAAATACAGGGACAACTGAAAATCTAGAAGAAAGAAGGTACAGCAAATGAACTTCAACCCTTTGCTGTCTTTCACTTCACTAAAGCTTTATCAAGTCCATGCTCATGCTGTCAAGCACAGGTTGTTGCACAGACATCTCTGAAAGGGTGAAGAATGAAGGATTTCAGGTTCACCTTTGAGAAAGATGAGTTATGACTCAGTCAGCTGTATGACAAAGTATCTCTCTTACTTAAGTGACTATTTTAAGAGCAATAGCAAAGTGCAATCAAATTCTCAAAGCACAGGAAGCTTTTGAGAGGTTTTAGGAACAAATTAATATTACTAGTCCATTACATGTGTCCTTACCACCTCTATGTGGAAAGGAAAGCAAATTAACCAATCGAGATCAAAAAGGAGACTTCATGAAGACAGACCTTGTGTCCTCTCCTGATCAAATCTTTATGAAGATACCTGATAAGATGCTCAGTTTTGCTTGTTCTTTGCAGGTTTCTCTCCCCACAGAGCTCATGCTTTACAGCAGACATGACTATTCTTCACTGACAGAACCTGCCCTTCTTATTGCAGTGTTGGACTGAACTGTTAACAGAAGTCACTCTTTGTATATATAGCACAATGCTACAGATTCTGATCTCATCATAAATCTGTACACCTGCATTCATCACAAAGTAATAAAATCACTAGAAGCTATCACGTGCAGTCTTGAGATGTTAGAAATATTAAGTGAAAGCCTCATACACCAGCTGCAATGCCTACATGACTGGTTAATCATGCAGTCTGTTAACATGGTAAAGCAGATCCATTACATGCTGGAGTCTACTTTCTTACAGCTTGGAAATACTTTGTAGTACAGAATAAAATACTTTTCCTCTCAAATAACATCGGCATTTAGGTTCAATGGAACACATGAGCCAACTACCATTTGCCATAGAAGGATTAAAAAGGAGAGCTGTAACTGGCAGAACAAAACCACCAAATCACCTCTAAAACGATGGTTGACGAAAGCAAGCAAGACTCCCAGGCAGAAATGTGCATCATGGGGTATCTCAATGCTGCAGTGGCAGGGTATGAGGCAAGACTGCAGTGAATAACTGCTTTGCAAGGACACTTCAGTGCTACCCTTCTCGAACCACCTGAATGCACACTGTGTCTAATCTTATTCCTGTTTCAGTGCACATTCTGCAACTTCAGTCACTCGAAAGCAGATACCACAGAACTAAAGCTTCATCTAATACTACGTTGGAAAGCAGTCCTTTTAAAATGAGATTAACCCTCAAAGAAAAATCCTGCTACCTTAATTCTCATGACACTTATGTCTCTTTATTTTGAGATGTGAAAGCTACACTTGGAGTTCTTTTTCTATGTAGATTCGTTCACTTCTTATGGCCTTTCTTCATTAACAATTCCACCGGGCAAGGCACAATGTGTGTATGAGGATGTTCTCACTAGGTAACAAAGAACCCATCACACAGCAAAGCAGTCACCAGTAAAACCTCCCATCCTCCAAAGTCTTCTTACTTAAAGCCCCCTTTAAGTATTGACAGGCTGCAATAAGGTGCCCCTAGAGCCTTCCCTTCTCCAGGCTGAACCACCCCAGTTCTCTTAGCCTCTCTCTTAGCTCTTAGAGGGGGTGTTCCATTCCTCTAATGATCTTGGTGGTCTCCTCTGGACTCACTCTGACAGGTCAATGTCCTTCCTGTGCTGAGGATCGCAGAGCTGGATGCAGTGTTCCAGGTGGAGTCTCATGAGAGTGGAACAGAGGGGTGGAATCCCATTCCCTGTCCTGCTGGCCATGCTGCTTTAGATGCAGCCCCGGATGCAGCTGGCTTCTTGGGCTCCAAGTGCACACTGTTGAGTTGCATTCAATTTTTCATCCTCCAGCACCCTGAAGTCCTTCTTGGCAGGGCTGCTCTTGATCCCTTCATCCCCCAGCCTGTATTGATACCGGGGGCTGCCCCAGCCCAGGTGCAGCACCTTGCAGTTGTCCCAGTTGTTGAACTTCATGAGGTTTGCATGTGGGCCCACTCCTCAAGCCTGTCAAGGTCCCTCTGTAGGGCACCCCTTCCCTCTGGTGCACCTGCACCACTCAGCTTGGTGTCATCCACAAACTTACTGAGGGTGCACTCAATCCCACTATTTGTCACTGATGAAGATATTAAACAGTCTGGTCCCAGCACAGGTCCTTGAGGCCCATTTGTTACTGTTTTTCTCTTGGGCATTGATACGAAAGCACAAAGGGTTTAAGCAGGAAGGAAAATAGCTAAATCCTACATGAAAGCCAAATTGAAGGACAAAAAAAAAATTCCCTTCTTTCTACACAGTATCTACAACATTACAGATCTTTGGGCTTCTGGTTGTGCAGGTTTAATTCTGGCCCCTGTCAAGAAGAATGACCTTTGGAAGCACAGCTCTAATTTCTTCTTTCCAATATGACTATTCCCTCAGTACTCTTTCGAAAGTAGTTAGCTGAAACTTTTTATGTCTGTTTAAGGAAAATAATGACAAAATTTCCATGTGCAATGTACACTCTTTACAGCAATGGAAATGAATAATGCTACTGGAGAAGTGAGTTTGGGACATATGGTATGACACACTGTGACTTTTAAAGTATTTTTGTTAATATGAAAAGTAGTATTACCAGTTGAATTTGGATTTTCAGTTCTGCAATTATCTATGCAGTGGTTGCTTCTGTCAAATTCTTTTTAGTCACAATATAAGAAAGATTTAAATACCATCAACTTTTACTTCTAAAGTACCCTTGAAACTCTACTGCCATTCCATTGAGACTATAGCATGCCTCAGAAGATCCACCCCTCTAAACTCAGCTAGATTTATGCCAGACAAAGTGAAAATCTTTTAGAAACAGATTTTTGCCAGAGTGATCACCATGGTAACTGTAGCATAGACAAACTTTAACAAAGACACACTGTGTCCTATGTGACCTTCTTTAGAGCTAACACAACTTGAAAAAACACAGCAAACACTGGTTACTGACAGCACAACTGATGTTCTGAGTATGGACTTTAATAACATTATCAAAATCTCCACTGTTATCTCTAGCAATCCAGAGGGTAGACAACCATCTGAGAACAAAAACATTCATCCAAGTTCTAGTACATGTTTTCATTCGAAGTGCCTTTGTAGTCTGCTCTTATGAGATACTAGCTGGCACGAGAGAATCCCTAGCAATTTTAACTGGAGAATTTTTTATGAGCTCTCTGTGTCTTAAGGCCAGTCGAATGTTTCAAAAAGCTGGCTTGACTCTTATATGTAAAACTGGTTTACAAGGAGAAGTTTAGATCTACAGAGCAGTAGTAGTGTCCTAAGCTCAAGCACATTCCTTAGCTAAATACACATTTATGTTCAGCCCTGTTTCCTTAAGGTAATCTGGTATCCATCACACAAAACAGAAATCATGTTCAACTTTGTCACTGTCCTCACAAGGGACACTTTTACTGCAATCTTATGAAAGATGGCTTGCTTGCATACAAGTTTCTGGGAACACAATAACAAAAGAACAAACAGCTAAATACTGCAACTAGTCATCTAGAAAGACACTTCCCCACTGAAGTGGGGATGTGAAGAGCACATCCAACACATGTAAGTCAAGGGGTATCTCATGTCAGTCTGATTTGTCTAACTAGCCTAGGCAAGAAGATCAACTACAACCACTTCTAAAGTTAGATAAGGTTTTTTCTTCCACCTGTTGCAATTTTTAAATATTAGAAAATGATCCAATTACAGACATGAAGTCTACATACCCCTACTTAGTATATATATTAAAAATAACAAACTCAGGCTAATATGCAACAGATGCACATATCAAATTTTGGTATTTAAAGGAGTTACTCCCTGTTTTGCAATACTGACACTTCACTGGTAAGTGTCTTATCTTTTCCTGTTGGATTAGACTATACAGTATCAGGACTTTCTCCTGAAAAACACATTAATTTCTTTCTTAGCATGTGATACTGAGCTGAAAATAACCTGTTATTCATGCTTTTCAAGGGGAAATAACTACAAAAGGTCAACCTCAGGCATAATTTACCAAATTACGGAATTTGATTTTGGAGGCTAAGATACCAAGTCTTCCTGGGAAAAGGATAAACAGCATTTGATGAGTCCAAAGTTCACGTTCCCTTTGACTTCCAAATCCCCACAGACAGGACATGGCTTCTGAAAAGACTTATATGTGGCTTGAGACTGAGACAGGAAAACGATGCAGTCCTGAATATTTTTGCCACTGAAGAAAGTTAGAGGTCTACACCAAACCTATTGGTGAAAATCACTCTTAAAAGACTAAATTCTAGCAACACAGCTTAACAAGAACCATTCTTCCAAACAAAGCTTCTGTTATCCACATGCTTTCTGCTCTCCTTCTCTATTGCTGCTTCATATTACAACAGTGGACTAACAAATTTTGGTTTATTTCAGTATTAGTATTCATAAGCTACAAGGCAGCATCAAGCTTTTTAAGAACTGTGTATTTTTTCTCTCATTGGCCTTGAAGACAGTCTTTCAGAATCCTAGGTTCTTGCTTTCTCCAGCTCTTCATCTTCCAGGAGAGCTATTTGCAGGTGTGTCCCTTCTCTTAACTTGTTTTCATGAGCAGCTCAAACTCCCCTACTTTCAAGACAATTGTGAAGCACAAATCTGCATTAACAGCCATCCTCCCATTCTGGTTGCCACTTCTTCACCCTTCTCCTCTTGCTTTTTAGAGCTTCTCCAAGCATCTGCCATATGTATCACCATTTGATCTGATTTCACCAGCTTCAAATCCACTCAAATCATGTTTCAGAGAAAAATGTGACATGTTATCTGTAAGCAGTTAGAGCAGAACACAGTGACCCTTTTTACGAAAGCTGAACATTTTCCCAAGTATCTTTACAGGGAAAATCCCTCCCCATATGCTGTCTTTCCTTCTTCCAGAAAACAGTTTGTTCCTGCTTGCAGTGAAGGTCTCCTCTGAGCTGTCAGCAGGTTTGAGACAAGACATAAGCAAGCTCTAAGCCAGTGACTTGGGTCTATCTGACACAAAACCATTTTATCTCTTACTCATCAGGGGAAAACTGAGGCTGTGGAAGGACGTGCTGTGAAACCTATGTTTGCTGACAACACTGCAGTCCCCATTTCTTCCCTCAAAGAGATTTCTCTAAAAACCTCCTCCAGAACGGGTTTTCTCTGGATGGTTGAATTTTGTCCTGTGTGAGACAGACACTGACTGAATCAGACAGTTCACACGGAGCCAGTGAGTGCTGAGAGACTCACAGGGCAGGGAGAGCCCTTTTCCAAACCTGCTCCATGTGCCTATTAAATCTGTGTTAATTTTGTGCTTTTGGTTTCAGTATCTTGGCAGACTAAATTTCATGGTTGATTTAACATATTTAAGCTCCCAAAAATTAAGATTTAGATCTTTTAACTTTAGACTTCACTCAACAAGCCTATTACAACAGAAAGAAACAAAAAGGAATGCAGACCATTAATTCAAATCTTCTTCCAGTATTAGTCTACAGGCTTTGCACCCTTTTCTACTGGCTTCTTTCCTATGGAAAAAGCATGTCTTCACATACCAATATTATTCAATTTCTTCTGACTTGTTTTTCACTATTTTTAAAAGTATGCACCCCTAAAACACAAAGAGATGGAATTAAGAAAAGCTACAATATTCTGGAATATAACTGAGTTCAGGCACTCCCGAGGGAGAGCATGGTAGCATTGCAAAAGATGTGGCAAAGGTACTGAGTCAACACACAGAAGCTAATGAGCAGCTTCCTCTGGACTCCTATTATACAAATATAACAAAATTTATAATATTTATTATCTAGAGACAGGTGGAAGAGGTCCAGCCCGCTACAACCATGTCACTTGTGTTTAATTTGATAGGTTATGACTTCATACACACAGACAGGCACAAAAGCACAATAGCTACAAGGTGACCCCTAATAACTTTATCAGGTAAGTTATCAGAGAAGCCATGTCCTGAGCTGACTCAAGGTCCTCAATCCCATGGTCTGGGGGTGGCACTCCCCAGATGAGTCCACAGGGGAAGTTCTGGGAGTCACCTCACTGACCAAGGAGGTTGTTCAGGTGGTAGGGCTACAGGAGATGCCTGTGAAAAGCATTCTGGTGCGGTATTGAGAGTTGTTAGGGGAAGTTTAGGAGAGGAACCAAAGGCAGAGGAAATGAGAGATCAAGGTGGTTTGGGAAAGAAGTATGGGAAAATACTGGGATAAGGAGATAAAGGAAGCTGGTCACATTTAAAGAGGTTGCTCATTGGTACTGCATGGCATCTGCCTTGCATCTGATCACCACAGTCTGTCCTGTCTTATCATTAAATGCTATTTCTGACTCTTTTTGTCAGTATGGTTATTACTGAGCTTTCTAAATCATAGCAAAGTTACTGGGCCCTGCATTGTCTTATGTTTTGTGAAAACACATTAAGGGGAAGCAATATTTTTAATGTCACTGTTCTATTTAAAACACAAGTAATGGTTTTACATGAGCCTTGAAAATGTACCATCTACTGCTGCTTTCTCCAGTCTAAAGACAGACAGTGTATATGAACAAATGACATTCTGAAGTCTGCATCCTTCCCCAAATTTTCACATCTTTCCCCTTCTTTTGGGAAGGCTAAACTAAAGCTGAATTGGCCTGTACTAGTACTTTCAATCAATCCAGCTGAATATCTCGATACTTAATTTGCTCTCTTTGACAGTCAATAGGGAAATAGGCTTAGTTGTTGAAATGTCAAAGTCCTCACACTCAACCACTTAAGCCACTCAAAACACTGGAAAAAGTGAAAGTTTCTTAGATAAACTGCAGTTAGTCAGAGCCTTTTCCCACAACAAGGAAGCATGGTGGTGAATCATTACTTAGAATCATTAAGACACTCTGGTTTCAAATTTTAAAAAGTGAAATAAGAGGATGCTCACTTCCATAACTGAATTATTTACTGAGCTGAATTTTTTTTAAATCCAGATAGCATTTGCGTAATTAGCCTCCTAATTTTGTAAGAACTTAAGAATTAAAAAAAAAAAAAAATTTATTGATTTGAAATTTCCTTTTTTACAACAGTCCACGCAGCTACATTAGGTAGCAAGCACCATGTTGTTCTAGTTACTAATATGTATATGGGGGTAGGATGCCCTTAAATTGTGGGTTTACTTCATTTCCTGAAAACTAGGAGTTTGGCTGATACCAACCCCAGGCAGCTCTGCAGAGTTGTTTAAGACTTTAACCAAACAGGAAGCAACCAGCCCGTCTCAATCCTGATTACTGTTAACATGCCCAACTAGAAAAAAAAAAACAATCCACCTGGTGTCTTTAGTAAGATTTGGATCCAGTAATTCTAAAAGCAAAAGGCTTTGAAAGAAAAGGCTTTGTCTGCCCTTTAAATTAGTTGCTTATCTCTACAGATTGTTAACATCACGTTTTCTTTCTTCAGTTACCAAGGTGAGAGAAATGACTTCTTTGTCAGGAACAGATTATCAATTATGCCCATCTACCAGTTTGAAAATAGCAGTAAGATATTTGTAAGGCCTTGGATAAATGTGTTGGACTAAAACTTTGGACCTCAAATTAAAACCTAGCATTAGAAAAATAGGCATTTAATATTTTGTCATAAGGTAATACAAGTTAAGATTATATGAATAAGGACTGGAATGGGTGACTATTCACCACTTACTAAAATTGTGCTTACTTGAATCTGTTGAAATCTGGACATCTTTTGCTGATCCCTGTGTTGAACCATCAACATCATCATCTTCATCTGTGAAAACAGAAACATTTAAAGAAAGGATTTCTGTTAATCTGAACTACGGGGGAGGGAAAAGGTGTTTGTCATTTAAGAGCAATTTCCACCAAACAAGCTAGCACAAAAGGATTCAGACAGAAAAGCACACTTTCTTTTTCTACCTATAGTAATTAATACAATAAAAACAGCATTGAAAAACCCAAATCTGCATTGCCATGTAACTACAGTGAAGGCATACCTGAGATCCTTCTACGATTAGCTTTAATATTGCAACTACTGCATTTCATCCCTTTCTAAAGCTGCAATGTTTATCTATGACTGAAGTATATATGGTTTCCATTAAGTTTTCAATCACCAAATCAATCCAGGAACTGCAGCAACAGCCTTGCAGTCAGAAATACAGGTGTAAGTAATTTCCACAACTGAAAAATAAATCTGCAGACACACAAAGAGGAAGAAATTGCTGCTCTCCAGAAGAGGACTTTGACAGCAGCTCATCACTCTCACTGAAAGCTGGGAGCTAACCTGTCAGCTAATAATGCACCCTGTAAAATTACACATAAAATGCTAAGATTAAAATAAATGCTATGAACATTTGCTTCTGAAGGTAACAAGCTGACTACATTCTCATTCCTGACTCTCAGGGCCATACAAGAAGGCCAGTGCAAATCCAAACATTGTCAGTTTTTCTTCTCTAAGGGTAGCAGTAGCGTGCAACACAAGTCAACTTGCTGTGCTTATCATATAATGGTATTACCCACACCCACTGAAACTACCAGTCAGTCTTGATTCGGATGCAGGCAAAGCTCTCAAAAGATATAAGGCAGGCAACACCCTTAAAAAAACTATGCCTTGCAGCTGAGGGAGAAAGCAGGAAATCAAAGCACAAGACAAGAATGAAATAATAAAATCAAACCAGTAAAGACAGATCTTCAGAGCAAAAGAGGTACTGGGGAAGTCAAAATACCAAAGCAGGGAAACCTTCAAAGAACCAGAATCACAGCATGTCAAGAAGGTTGCTAGGCAGGAGTCCTGACACCAGGTAACTTACTGAACATTTATATATTGCTTTAAGTGACTGCAAGAAAGACCAACAATAACGCTTTTGGGCTGGGGCTTTTAAAATAGAAAAGAAGTGTTGAAATACTTTTCCCTGTTACAGCTGACAAACAGATCAAGTTTCAAATTGGAGAGAAATTTAGACAGTATGGGCTTGAAATACCCTGAAATAAAAGGAAGCTGAATGCCCTCTTGAATTTCACTTCAGACAAAATTAGGTTAAAAAAAGAGTAAGTAAATACAACAAGAAGAAATCACTGCTCCTGATTGTTCCCAACCCTCTTCTCAGTTTAGATGGGAAGAAGCTGACATGTTTTGTTACTCTTTCTCATTCAATCAGGATAGTAGGGATATGTATACTAACAGCATCCTGAAACTATTCCAGTGAAGTTCAATGACTTATTCTGAAATTCACTGAGATGGGAGTCAGATGTAGGAAGGGGAGATAACTACTCTACCATTGCTTCCCCTGGTAGTTCAAGAGTTTTGAAAAGCATAGAGATGCTGGACATGAGGCTCAGCATTTATGCAGTGGCAAAGGCAATCTGGACAAATGGTCCCCAGCAGGTCAAGGATGATGTATGTGCTCATTCACTGCATGGGACAAGGGAACTGGCACTTCCCGAACACCATTGTGGGAAGAGCTATGCCTGCAGCACTTAACTCATCCAGGCAACTGCCAACACGTGTTTGGTACCTCAGACTGGTCTTTTCAGGATAATCTGAGTGATGTCCTTTGTCAGCTGTGGCAATAGAAGAGCACCCTCTGAGCATGCCCCTTCTGAACATGAGAACTTCTGAACAAGCGTGCTTCCACAACAGGTCCCACAGAAGTGCTAATTATTCTCCAACAGAGGAGCACTTTGCTCCCCTGAAACATCCCTAACAGGCACACAATCTTTGAGATCTGTGATTTGCCAACGAGAACCTATGCCTTCACTTGGAGAAGCAGCAGCAATTCCTGGGGCAGCTGTCCTGAGCTGTTTTGTGCTCAAAGGAGCATCAAACACATCCTAACAGAGTGTTAGGGAGCTGCTGGACTCATGACACATCTCACTAACTCAGCACGTGCCAGGAGCTAGAGGGTTTTTGGAAGAAAATGCAGGTTTGTTCTGTGAACATGGGTAACAAGAAGGACCACGAGGCCAGAGCACTGAGTTTCCTTGACACAGATGATGTGAGAATTAGTTTAAGACAATTCTTGGCTCCACCTTTGAGGAAGAATCTGGGCAGAGAAAAAGACCATATAGCGATGTATTTGGTGCTTTTGGTGGGGACCTGCAGACACTTTCAGACAGATTTCCAGCAGATGACTGAGAATGGCAAAACTCCAGCAAGGCTCAGTAGGACGTGAATGGTGTAAAAGGAGTCACATGTGAAGACACCAGACCACCACCTGTACCTTCAGGACCTAGGTGCTAAACCAAGCATCACATACCATCATCAGGCAAGGAGAAACAGAACAAAACACTTTATGCACAGCAGACTGCAAGGCAGGTACCACACCACAAATATTACTCTTCATGCCTTGTGCTGAGTAACAGCTGTGGCCCACTGACCATGACAAAAAGGAAGATGTCAAGTGCTGGGGGCAGCCACCAAATTCACGTGTGTGCCATGGACCAGCAGCAGGAGGAAATGGGAGTATCCACATGGTTCAGCCCCTGCTCCCCCGGGTATCAGCAGCTGCTCCCTCCTGGGAGGCTGCTGCCCACTGGATGACAGGGAGCTGAGCCCAAGGGGCAGAAATTCTCACAGGCCACAGAGAAGAGATCTCGTGTTACAAAAGAGATTTTTCAGGGTGTTGCTGTATTATATGCAGGGTGAGGACTATAAAAATGCATTCTGGCTTTCCAAATATGGTGGGGTTTATTTGCTTTGTTGTTTTTTTTTTCCTTCGTATCATACTAAATCACTGGAAATGGCACAAATTAAGTTAGTGAATACTTCTCCATCTCTATGTGTCTGCTTCTGACCACCAGTTAATGGCTGCATTCTCTCAATTCAAATTACAAGACACACATTTTGACTAAAGAAATACAAAAAAATATTATTACTTTAAAAAACCTTGAATACAGATAACATAATCTCACATACTTAGCATGTAGCTTAAGTCCTGAAATGGAAAACCTTCTTCCCTCACTTAAAATACTGACTAAAGGGACTAGAAGGTGCTGCTATAACTTGGGTTCTTTCACTCAAGAAGCTCTGTATTAAACTGTTACTTAGAGGTGCTTTAAAAACTAAAAAGTGAGAAAGTTTAATTCTGACATATTAAAAGAGCATACTACTGTTTAAAAGATAAACTTAGTTAACATCAGAAAAATCATACCAAAAGACTATCTGAGAGGTTTGTGATTAACTTTTGTTAGTATTAATAACACATCTCTATTGTCACTTAAGTTTTGGGGCACTTGCGAAATATCTAACAATAGACCTGAATTAAAGTTCAAAACAAGTCTTCCAGCAAAATCAAGCCCATCCAGACTGTTTAATTTCTGTTATTTCTTATGCTGGAAGCATTAAAATTCCATGACTTTCAAGTGAGTGCTGTACTTCACCTTCTTCCACTAGCAAGCAAATTCACTAACAAGAAAAATAAGTCACTGAAAAAAAACAATCCACAAAAGCAAGCTAACGCCTCCTCTCTGCCTGGGCACTTTTGTAGGTCCATTCAGTGCATCTGGGTCACGCAGACCCAGGGTCATGCAGTTCATGCAGAAACAGGACTCCTGCCATAGCTTCTGCACATGAGAACACATGGCTCTTCCTAGCAACCAGCTCCCCTGCCCAAAACCAAACCTACGTGTTCCAAGCAGAAAGTTCAAGAGCAACCTGTCAGGTTGAGAAAAGTGCAGCTGAAAATATTTAATTTTCGTGAGCTATTATTTTGCCTACCTTTTATTTCCTTTCCTATTGTATTTAGGCACTAAAAAAAAGGCTTTACAAGAGCATAATAACCAAAATATAAATTGGAAAATACTTCAGTAACTGGAAAATACTTAAAAAAGAATTCTCTCGTTCTTAAAGAGCTGTTCGACATTCACTCTAGATGGCAGCAGAACATTACCCTGCCTAGACACATGGTTTCATTTCAGCACAAAGATCTTAAAAGGACAGATGCTTAATTCAAGAGACAAGTCAAAATATCCGTATGCATGATATGACAAATAAGTGTAGCAACGATAACACACCACAAATTTTTCGATTTCAGCTTTTCACTTTCCGTGCACTTAGTGTTTGAAGAATAGTTAACAAATCGCCCTGCACCAGTAAAGAGAAGTTTCTCCTTTCTGCACACAGCGTGCATTTCAAACCCTCTAACCTGTCCCATAAACAGCAAGAAGTTATAGTATCGCCACAAAAGCCAGTAAAAAATTAGCAATAACATGCTTCAGTGAATTACAACACTAGGTTAAATATACTCATCAATTAGTTGCACTCAACGTTGAAATTTTTACCTGATTCGGTTTGCAAATTTTCCGATATTCGAAAACAGTGCAATTTGCTGAAGTTGCGAGAAAATAACTGCACACAACTTGGAGGGAGAATCATATTCCTTAATCTTCCAAAGGTACATTCTGGTGTGACAATTACGTAGCAAGCAGCATGAGCCTATAAATAACAGCATCAGTTAAGAACTCAAGTGATACGCAAAGAAAGCAAATCTGTTTATAACAAAATATGACTGGAATTGCATAACTCAGGTTAGGACATATATAGATCTTTCATTAATCACTTTCATGAAATGAATGGCTCGTTTTTTCACCCCAGATTTTCATTTGTTCATTTCAGTTTTTATGTAACCAACAGTGGGAAGTCTTAACATGTGAAGAACTTTCAAGGATCACAAACCTGGTCTATCAAAAACGGAAGGTTTTTATACAGCAACATGGAGAAGTTTAAAGTTTTGGTCTCAAACTCTGAATCTCCCACTCCATATAGATATTTACTGGGGCAAATGGGAAAGGTGCACAGGTTAAATTGAATAGCTTGAAAATAGCAGTATCCTCTTAACTCACTTGCAGATTCAGAGATAACAGTGTTTTAAGTTTTATTCCAAAATGTGACTGGCTGGTTTCTGCCTTTATACTGCTGCAAGATCTTCTGCCATTATTGAATACACTTACCTTTGTATCTATGGCCATACAGCATGTTACATTTCTTAGATTCTTCTCAAAGACAGCCCCTCCCACCTCGAAAATTATGAACCAGATTAAAATACAAACCCCACAACATGAAAAAAAAATTCAAATCATACCTGAAATACTGAATAACCTCAGAGTTTTATTTTAAATTATTATTACATAGACTACCTCATCTTGCATTAAATGTCAAATTAATGATATATTACGTATACTTTCCAGTTCCCACCTCATCAGGTGTTACTTTGCACTTTCATCATATTTTAACACGAGGTGGCATTAAGTGGATGGGCCAATTGTTATCTACACAGCACACTGTGTATCAGTATGTGAAAACCTGTGGCTTCCATGAAGATTATTGAAGTGCACCATCACCTTGCACAGGAAATAGACATGTGTCATATGAACGGAAAAACACAGAAACTGATACTGACAACTTAAAAAAATCCCAACCACACAGGCTAAGACCTATTCTATACTGAAATATGAGTAAACATATCAGAATGGTAAGTCTTTTCTTTGACCTTGCAGAATTTACGTGACTTGAAAGAAATTTTAATTTAACACAGAAAAAGTGGCTTCAGGCTTCTAAGCACAAATTCATATTGATTGACCCCTGCTAAATTTTACTTCCACTGGATTTACATAAAGCTTAAGTACAACTTTGAGAATTGCTCATTAAAATGACTGTGAGGAAGATTTTCCATCTAACACATAAATATATATATTTATATAAATTAAGTGTATTTACAAAGTGTACATAAAATATATTTATACAGTGTACAAATAAATTGTATCAAGTGTTTAAACAAGCACATGCACCTATGTATATATGGTTCCCACAAATATATGCAGCAGCACAACATACCAGGATGCCACACCATTCACATCTCATGCCAGAGAGCACCTCAGAAGACCCACAGGTTTTTTTGCAAACTTCACAACGAGCACTTGAAGAAAGATTTCCCTCTCTCCAGTGGTGGTGGTAAGTATCCTGAGGGAACACATCATGACTTAGCATTACATCAGATACAGAAGCATCTTCAATCCAAGTTTAAAATCAGCAATTCAAACAGCTCTGAAGAAACAGTAACACAGACTAGAACATTAAGTTTTTCTCAAGATAAATAGGAATCTGAACAATCTCACGTTTCGCCAAAAGAAGTTTGTTAACACTATCAGAAGCTTATCACAGTGTTTTTTCTTCCTAGGCCACTAAAAAAAAGTCCTTTAAAAAAAATCCTGAAATATCAGTATTTTGCAGTATGTTACTATAGGAAGGTATGAAACTAGGCAGTTTTAACTTGGTCAGACTGCAGGACAAGATAATGTTTGCCAGGGATGCAGTGCAGCCAACAGCTCAACACACAGAGAAAAAAGAGTTCCATGCCAGCTCCTGTAATGCAAATTTTAATAAAGATGTTTAATTTTTTTAAAATTTTTAACTGGGACATTGTATGTATTGCACAGACTTTTCAGCAAGGGTTCAAAAGCATCACGAATATATCAGCATTTAAGTTCATTTTGCTGTCTGTGAGACATTCTGAAAGCATACATTTCCTTTGCGTGCCAACAGAAGTACACTGATAACTGGCAGCATGTGAAAGACTCCCCCTCCTCTAGTCCAGGTTTTCACACCAAAAATGCATGACCACTTTGCCCTGCAGAGGCATCTGCACTTACGTGGTCCAGGTGCCCATCCTGGTGACACTGTCGGCAGTCACTGCAAGCAAACAGGATACAGTCTGTGTGCACATGTAGCTCACAAACTAAAAGCATAAAAACAAGAAAACTTCCTTAGGCTGGAAACCACAGGGTTTTCCGCATCTCCTTCCTCCCTCCCTCCCTCATGGCCTCCATCTCTCCAATACTCCTCCACTTTTTCATACCATACTTTCACTCCTCCACACTCTTTACATTCAGCAAAGATAGACAATAAAGAAGTTTATCAGCATCATCCTGTGTGTTGCTCCACTTGCTCTGTGTTAAAAAGATGTAGCAAATATAAGGAAAGGCTGAGCTAATTTTGCACATCAGAAGCACTTGTCATATTTCCTCCAATACAGCAAGTTAAATTTGTACAACTGCTTGGCTTTGTCTTGCAGTTCCACAGGAACTGCTGCCTACTCCAATATAATTGTGCCTGAAGACTACTTTGGTTTAACCAAATCCAAAAAAACCATCAAATGATAGAAGCATTAACAGAATTATCTTTCTGCATCCAAATATCATCAAGTCCTGACTATAAAACAATGGTCTTCCTGAATCAATATTACACTCCCTTTAGAAAGCCTTTTCCAAGCCCTGCTGCAGAGCAGGAAAGCACTTGATGAAAGAGTTCAAAGCAGCAGATGCTCTTCTGCTCTCCACTCCTGGAGCTGTTAGGAGCATAAGGAAACAAAAGACAAGGTGTGTTTTAGTACCAGCCCCAGCAAAGCAAGGGGCATGGTGCCAAAGAGCAGGAAGGCTGTAGCCACCTCTCCTGCTCACAGCCATGGTCCACGGGAGACACGTCAGAGGTGAGATCAGCCATGGACCCACACGGCATGTCTGCACCAGCACGGACTTGCTGGGTTTGTGAAGTGAGATGACATCAGAACATGCAGAATGACTGGAGAGTGTCAATCCCAGGGAGACTGCAACAGCCAGAAAGCATGTTTTACGGAGGAAATAAATCCTTTTTATTGACAGATGATGCTCAATGCATTCAATTTTAGACATGACCCAAATAAACGGGTATATTAATCGCAGATAATTGCCCAAAGTATGTCTGTAATCACCATTTAATCACTGTTTCATTGTCGTGGAAAGGAAATAATTTTTTCAGAGCACTCTCCTAAGTAAGCTTAACATTGTCTTCCAAAATACATGTTAGATACTACGGGACCTGAAAGAAAATGGAACTGCACACACACAGAGTTGGATTTCGGGACTTGTCCACTGATCATTTTTCAGTGTTCCCATTTTATTCAAATCCCCTCGTAAACAGCACCTGGTGTTTTTCTTTTAGTTAACCGGAATTCCCGGGATCGTCCTGAACCAGTGCCTCAATCCCACAGATCCACCTCACATCACACGGTGGCTGTGCTCAGCCACGAGAGAAAAACACACGCCACCAACGCAGACCGTTCAAAGTGGTTTCCAACTTTGAGAAACACAGCATTCTCTCTTTCAAAGCACTTAGCCAAGGTCAATCCTCCCTTTTGATTCCGATTAACTAAATGCAGGTGCAGAGTGACTCAGCTTGTTCCCACAGACACTGTAGGTGGAAGAAGTTTTAGAGAATCTTATAAAGGTTTAGGCAAGTTTTGGTTTTAAAATAATTTAATTATCTAAAAGCTGACTGGAAATATCAGATGTGAAATAAAAGAATCTGCAGCTATGCCGCAAAGGACGACTTACTAAAAAAAATACTACTAAAAGATCTCAATACAAAGCTTCATTACTGCCAGAGTTAGGAAGGTTCTTTACGGACCTCATAGACAGAGATGGATAAAAAAGATTCTCCTGTAGCTGATTTGTAAATACTTGTGTATACAAGTGTTCAGGGAAGGTATCTGATTTTTCATTAAGTAAATGAAAGCAAGAGACAAGCATCAAATTCTTAAAATATTTTTCTATTCTGGTCAAACAGGTTATTTTTCCAAGTATATTAAAAAAATATGAAAACTATAACCTGAAGATTGGAAGACAGCAACTGCACACATTAACTACATTATTCAAAAATACCTTGAAAACAGTATTAAATAAAGTAGAGAATAATATGTTATTTTGAAATCACTCTCTGGACTCTAGAAAAAGTGATCACAACTAATACTGTCTTTTTCTAAGACCACAGAAGATCATAATTTACCACCACACCGAAGCAGACTGTTGACCAACTCAACCACAAACTTTCACGTAAAGCTGCCCACATTGCTGCACTCAAGAACTTCCATATAAGCCGTGACAGTCCCTCCTTCACTCACATTTCTCCATATATTCCCGTTAGATACAACAGAAATATTTTACCATTTTGCCAGTTCAACTAGCAGGCAAGCTAGATGCTTTGAGTCATATCCTTGGTAATGGTAAAAGTATCTGTAGACCAAGTTACAGCTTCAAGGAACTAACAAAAGCCTTGCTAGCTCAGGCACACTCTTTCCTTTGCTATGCTCTCTAAGAAGACAGAGGGGTCTTTACCCTTAGTTTAATTCACATCTGTTGCTCCTAACACCAATCTAAACTCAGAACTAATAAGAAATGTGTTCACGTGAATGGCAAGAATGTCTCAGGAGTTAATCCCTTCCCCAGCTATCCTGCTATGGGAAAGATGCAGTTTTTGAATGTAAAGATAAAGTCAAATCAGAGGCCCTACAAAAAGAAAATTCATCTTTATCAGCCCTTTCATAGTTCTTTAACTCAGAATGATGATCTTCTGTTCAAGCTAATCAGGAAAGTGGTTTTCTCTATGATTGCCAAAAAACCCAAGCTGATTAATTTCAGATACATAAACTTGGAAGAAGAATGCTTAAAATATTAGCTGCCTCCTTCTCCAGTAAATCTGCTGCTCCTGGTCAATGTTTAATAAGAAACTTTTGTAAAGGATTCAACACTAAAAAAAAATGTTTGGGTTACTCCTATTTCTCTTTCTTACTTTCCAGCCCTTCTCAGAAAGAAAAGGGAGAGCAACTCTCACCATCACAAGTCCAAGTTCAACTGATACCAGAATTCTGGTAGTAAAAATAGCTATCCAAAGCAATTATTAATTGTCAGCAAAATTTGGAGTCCAACTATTGCAATTTTTGCCAATGAACTGCATGTACTTATCTCACCAGGGGTTAATATACATGAATCCCCACTTCTGAGAACAGATGACCTCCTGTGCACCCTCAGCATTTAATACTTGCCTGAAAACTTTCAATTTCCTTCCAGGAAAATTTGTTTTATCTTAATTATGATTAAGAGTCCAGGAAAAGTTCTTAATTTCAGTATCAGATGAGAACATCATAACCAACAGTAGACTTGTAATATTAAGCTAAGTCATTAGAAGTAAGCAAAAAAACTGGAAGAAAGTTCAACTTCCTCATCTGGATTTAAAAGCTCTACAGCTCAAAACAGTTGACTTCTAAAACAAATTCCAAAAGCATTTTGAAGAGTAAAGGAAGAATCTTGTTCATTTTATGAACTTCAACTGTCCCTTTTAAGATACATTTAGAAAAGTATCAGAGAAACAAGCTGTAGCCTTGTTGGTATTTGGAAAAAGGAATACAAAACAAGTCACACCACACGAAATAAGAAAACTGTTTAATACATTTGAGGAACACAATTCAGAACCTTCAATGAACCCAATAACCATTACACCTGATGGGGCCCTGCTCTCCTGGAGATGGATAACACCTGCCTGCCCATGGGAAGCAGTGAATTAATTCCTTGTTCTGCTTTGCTTGTGTGTGTGGCTTTTGGTTTCCTTATTAATCTGGCTTTATCTCATCCCATGTGCTCTCTAGCTGTTACCCTTCTGATTCCCTCCCTGATCCTGCTGGTGGGGGAGTGAGTGAGTGTCTGTGTGGGGCTTGGTTACCAGCTGGGGTTAAACCATGACAAATGGATACAATGCTAATACAGTAGAATTGAGAAAGCAAGAACATAAAAAGAAAAATCTAGAAAGCTTGAACTAAAACTGTTCACTAAACAGAAGCTATTTTCAGCAGTTAAGAGGGTGTAGCTAGTAAAATTTTTCAAATTTTCTATCTCATGCCACACAAGTTCTGAGTCTGATTAAGACAGATGACCAGAAAATTCTCTGCATCTCTTTGACCATTCCACCAAACCACCCAACTCACTGTGGTAACTATATTAAGTGACAAATTCCCACTAGTCAGAAGAACATAGTTTGGTTTCATCATGCAACTCAGCAGACAAAAGCAGAAACAGAAATACTGCACCATTATAAGTCTAAATACCCTGATCAAAGAGGAATGTTTCCCCTACAAATACACAGAGAAAACCATATTAAATAAGACATTATCTTTAGCATAAAAGCTATTTTGAAGGCACTTCAATCCCCTGCAGAATTGGTTCTTCACTCATTAGACTTTTTTTTTTTAAACAGTTCACAGGTAATATTCCTTTAAAATACTAAATTCTATTTAACCTCACAACATCAACTGAAGAACAACTAATAGACATTTAAGACAAAGGAGACAAGAGAGAACTAAGGAGTTACACTACATAAAAAATCAGTCAAGTACTCATGCCAATATGTATTTCAAATAAAAATTCTAGTGTTTGGGTGATTTCTTTAATTACTGTTTTTTCAGAGAATCCATGTCAGAACACTCAGAGCAGTACTATTTTGACAAATAATATTTTGAAATATCTTTCCATTGAAGGTATCTCATCCTCATTATAAGTAACAGATATTTGAAACTAGTAACACAGGAAATTCTACATTCTTTTCTAGAAACATGAATACCTGATGATTCCCTGTATCAAAAGCTTCCACTGGAAACAGAAACAAATTACCTCAACAGGACAAGTCTTTTGTTATAATAGCTTCTCATCCTTTGCACATCTCAGGCATGCATTCATTGCACACCATCACCACCACAGACTTAATCAAAGTAAGTCGGAGGAAAGATGAAAAGAGCGTACAGGTTTGACAGAGTTCGTGCTTCATTCAAGGTGATTGATTTATTATTCCTTAACCTGAAGTTTTCACGATCAATGAACAGATAATAAACAAACCAGAAACCTCTCAAATGCTGCAAGAGCATGTGTGTGTGTACCCACACACCCTGGAGGTATGCAGGGCAAGGAAAGTGCACTGTCACTGGAGAACACACAGACGGCTGTACAAGGAGGGTTTAAGTTACCTTCACATCGAAAGGCAGGTGACTCCAGTGACTTCCTGCACACAGTGCAAAACTTTCTTTTGTAATGTCCTGGAGGCCCAAAACAGTGTGCAACTGGAACCTGCCAGTGAAGAATGCATAAGACATCATCAACTTCAACTTCTGAAGTGTCAGTAAAATTCACAGAAGCCGCTTTATCTTGTAACATGGGGCAGTATGTACAAAACAGACTTAACTAAGCACAAGAATAAATGCACGGGCAAATCATCCCTTAAAAGAAATCATACTTAAAATATATTTTAAATACCTTAACTGTTTTTTAAATCCTTGGGAATTAATATGTGTTGTATATATTTTTCAGTGCTGATCAGCTTCTTGATGATTCACAGCAACATGAATCCAAAGGCTTCCTTTGGGACTTACCTGTAAACACATTTCTTCTCCTAAGTATTCTTAATTGAATCAAGGACAATTAAAGAGTAACAGTTGCAATGGCAAACAAAATACCCTAAAGGCACACTCGAGGCAGTTTTTAAAATCTCAGTGTTGCCACGGTTCAGTACTGTCCACATGCCTTTCACCTCTTCTCCCAGTACAGCTCAGCCAACTGGCTGATCAGGTCCAAGGCATTGATTGGTCTTGCCCCACCCCATCCAAAACTTCAAAGGCTGAATGGTACAGAGATCCAGCTCCTAAGTACATCCATAAGGAGGTTCCTGCTGACTGTAGGTGCAAGATGACACATTACAATACCCTCTTTCAAGAGCTGTATCAATAGCTTTAGCAAAGGTATTTCACTTATCTGAAAATGCAGGGGTTTTTTCTTGCTTAGTGATTAATAATGAAGATGATAGTACCAAAAGAACTACAGAAGAAGAGAAGAAAAATGAAGACTAAGAAACATCCTTAAGCTTTATAATTGTTCTAGAGACTTCTTCCTACAAGATGCACAGCTTTGTTAAACTGACATTCACATTAGAAGGATGGAACCTAATGGCATGTTTAAAGTCCTAAAATCCAAATGAGTTCCATAGGAGGTTGCCATGATTTAGGCCCTTCTTGCTATGACAAACACATCAGACTTGTCTTCTAGTTCTTGCATCACCAAAAAAAAAATATTTCCAGTAAAAGCTCACAAGTTATTACTTAGGCATGACATGAAATTTATCATTTCCGGTAAAAAGTTGGAAATAATGACTAAAGATACACGTAGTCACAGATAGCTTCTTTTCTTCCCAGATGGACATTAAAACAAGCCTCCAAAGTTATTCAGCAGGATTTGAATTTTTCCCCTTCTATATTAGGGTTTTCCTGAGAACCACTAGCAGCAAATCTGACACATGATTTGATGACCCCAGGGAGTCACTTCCAGTTATAAACGTCTAAGATTCCCATGCGTATTTCTGCCTCCGAAAGCGTAGGGACAGTAACACTAAACAATCCTGTATTTCAAGCAGGCACAAAGAAAGAAGTGAGATAAAGTTTTGCCAGGTGCAATACAAGGAGGAAAGAACATCGCTGGAAGTTTGATTAAGAAAAATCAGTAACACCCAAACTGCAAAGCATGTGGTTCCTCCAGTTCTCCTCAGAATTAAGCTTTGGGAGATAAAGAGGACAAAGAGAGGTATGCCTATGTTATCCAGCATGAACAAAATCATGCACAGCAGCTGACCAGTGGAAGAGTCACCAACTCACTGCTTCAGCAGACTGTGTTGTCTGAAGCAATTCTTGGTCCCTGACTGATCAGGGAACTGCCTTTCCAGATCTCAAGCTCCACACCAGGCTGGGCTGCCAGCTAGCCTACCAAAAGGATTTCCTGTTAGTATATCTGCAATATGATATATTAAAAAACATCATTGTCTCCAAAAGCTTCAATTCTTAACCTAACGTACAAGTTTAGGTTTTAAAACCACAGACAAATCCTTCTTGTGGGTCCATATCCTACTCCCATCATTCTCTGCAGCCCTCCAGCTCTAACTGACATAAAGTTCATAGTTGACTTGCATTATTTTTGTTTTTTTAAATCAGAATTCTCTAGTCATACAATGCATGTTTACAAAAAGAATTTAAAAAAACCCAATGTTCTTGGTGGGGAAAAAAATATTCCGGAGAGCCTGAGTAACTTCAATTAAACTATCTCAGATTAAGCTCAAGGCTCATAATCCCTGCCCACTCTCCTCGCACTTTCATCTTACTTCTTCAAGAGAGGAAAAATCTAAATCTTTTTGTACAGTAATATACAAGTTGTCTGGCTCAGCTATTGTGGAGGTAGTGTCAGAGTTGTATTCTTGCTCTAGTGGTTCCAAAAATTAAGGTTTAGTAGGAGAAGGCTACTTCCACGAAATTCACCCTACAAAATGAATTGATGTGCAGAAAGAGATGATGAGAACAGCTTTGTGAGCACAATCTCAGCCAGACACTGCAATTGCAAGGAGTACTGAAAAGCCCTTTTGGGATTCTTTTCCAGTAAGCTTTTCTGCACATCCCAACGTGTCTTCAGGTTTCAAGTGTCACCTTTAAGTCATGTGCCTGCCCTACCCTGCCACAGCCCCAGGCATGGTGGAGCCAGATGTCCCCAAGGCAGAATTCCCCTTGAAATCAGACACAGAGGAGACCTCCTTTAGCTCTGAATTGGTGCACAAACTGTGTTGGACACCCAGAATGAGCAACCAATCCCTTCAACAACCTGTGTTTGAAACACAGGGGACTCTTCTTTGCTGGCCATGAGCCTGACAGAAGTCAAACTTATTCAGGGTCTGACTGTACTTATCTAGAAAACTCAAAATTCTGCAGTTGTTCGGACCATAGTGACAGTCCTCTGAAGTCTCAAGTCATTGCCAAAAAGAAGGGAAAATTTTGCTGATTGAAATTTTAAGGTAGGTGGGGGGAGAGAAAGGAAAAAAAAAAAAAGGAAAAAGATTTGTTTCTTCAACTTCTTCCTTTATGAAACAAGTCAAAGAATCTTTGTTTATTATATGTGTTATTATTAACTTGCCTTAGAAGTGACAGTTTTTAAACCGCTGCAGAGTCTGATGGAAAATGGGATAGGAATAAGACAGAAAAAGAGAAAAAGTAAGAGCAAGTATAAGACAATGAACACATCAATTACATAATGCTTCTCCCAACATTTTTTTGTTGCTGAACAAGTTCCAAGCACCCAATACATTAGGGGGAAAAAAAAAATCAAAACTCAGACTGGGAAAGTCAGTGAGGCAGCACGTCAGAATATGAAATGTTAGATATTATTCCTTAGTTTATATCCACCTGTATAACTGCAGGAAAGTACAGAGACATAAGGTGGCCTACAGAAAAAAAGTTAATAATTTATGAGAGTTTAAAACCATTTTTGCAACACAACTACTTAAATTGCCTTATGAAAACCACTAAAATCAATTTCCACAGAAAAATACAGACAATTTCTACTAGTAATACCATTAAATGACATCTAAATGCCCTTGCAATATTGATCCAAAGCACATCAACAGAAAGTATAATGGAACACTCTGCCATAACCTCCAGAATGACTTTGCACTCATGGACAAGATACTCCTAGTTCCTGTTCTGTTTCCTGCCCTCTCTTAAGAAATGCAAGGCATTAAAGAATGTAATGCATTTCTGTAAAAGTTCCTATCAACCTGTAACAAAGTTTGATCCTATAGAAACCTAAAACTTAAATTCTAACTCCTTCAGTGCAATCTGTGCGGTTCTGCATCATAAAAAAGAACAGCAACAAACTGCTCTTAACATCCAAACTTTGGAAGAAAAAGAAAGGATAGAATTGTTTTGTTTTGGTAGTACCATTTAAAGTTGTTCCTTATCCTGAAAGGCCACAGGGTATCAAACATATGGCCAACAGTTTATCATGAATTTAAGTGCTCTGCCACTAAGGCAGAATCATCCTGTACAGAGCAGCCCAGCTACCATCCACACCCTCTGATTTGTGGATAGAGTCAGGCCAGGTCGTCTTACTGGTCTGCAGCCTTCAGGATACTCCAGCAAGGGAAAAAATACAGCTCCAGAAAGGCCTATTTTTCACCCAGCAGCAGTTTCTTTTCTACCAGCTCAAGCAGAAGGAAGTTTTAGTTCAAATTCTAAGGCAAAAACTTCCAGGCTCAAAGGGGAACGAGAGAAATACAGATAAACCAAATGCCAAAGTGACAGCTGCTGTCTTGGGCAGTCTAAAAAAAGAACTACCTATTAAAAACTTTTTCTAGTCCTACATCTAGATATTATTTTGCCCATGCATCTTCTTCCCCATCACATCAGGGTGACTCGCACTCGGTGTGACTTTGTAACACACACCAGAGAGATTGAGAAAGCAGGTCAGCAGGACCAGAAGTAGTGCGGAGCTGAACAGCTTCCAAACAGGAAAGGTACACAGAAAGAAGGACACAAACACTCTCAACAACAGCCTCTAGAGACTGAGTAAAAGGAATTTAACTCGAGGTCACTAGTTTTCAGTTCAAAAATGCTGTGCATTTTAAGGATAAGCACAAGGAGCTTGGAAGCAACCATCTTCTTTAAATGCCCAGAAGGGTAGTTGCACCAAGACTGCTTCAACACAGGACCAAAAAAAATTTGCTGGTAACAATTAAAATGGTGTTCCTGAAACAAAAACAAGTAGGGATTCTGATGTTTCAATGCAAAAGTACTTCCCTATCTAAAGTTTCTAATGTTCACTCCAACACATAAACCTTTGCTCTAGGGAGGTAGATAGGGTGATCACACCTGACTACACCCCATGACTGTTCTGTCTAGATTAATATTCTAGACTACATCCTCTCTGAGAGAAGCTATCAACTTTGTGATTCAACTTTTCCCAGTACTGACATATTCTCAATTACTTCCTTGTTACTCAGTAATCACAAAGAGCCCTCTTTATTTGTTTGAAACCTCTCTGATTTAGAAGCAAAATATTTCTGCAACTTGAACACACTATTTGCTCTTGAACGCCCTCCCTATTTTTTTCTCCTTTTAGGGACAATGCCTATCAGTTGCATTCAAACTGACATTCTTCCTCTAAGCACTTGAAATATCAATTGGTGTTTAAAGGCAACTTAAGTACACATTCTGTATGGTAGTTCTGAAGTGAGATAAGAATACGAAATTAAATGGTGTCTCAACATACCTTAGAACAGGAGAGACAAGAAAATCTATTACTTAGTTATCAAAATATTAATTGGGGTTAATACAAGGGAATAATGCACACATCCATACACAATCTCACCATATCCAGGATTATTTTTCTCCATCCTACACATCTCTGTGACAGGACATTTGGCCTTATCTACTCTAAACTCTCAAGGACCCTTTGGATGGGAACTATATAATTTCAAACCAGGAATATATGATACTTCTACTCAAAAGTAAGACTTGTGTAAAAGCTTTCCACTGCAACTAAGAGTTGCTTGGACTAGTATTTTTTGTACTGGAAAGAAAAAAACTATATGCAAAAGTCAGTCACTTCTTGCTTTTACTGCTACAGAGGAAATCAATGTCCACCTCCTTTTATGGAGACAAAGAGTTAAAAGAAACAAACACAGTGATATCCCACAGTGCTTCTGAAACTGAAGAGTCACTGATAGAGCTTTACAGGCTCCCAGGCAGCTTGCATCAAGTTTCAATAGAGCATAATAAGCTCTCCTGAGTTTATGAACTTAGGAGGTGCTAGCCCTTCCTTCCCCTTAACCCCGAGGGAAGGGTTTAACCCTTCCCTTTAACTCTGAGGTTCCACTTCAGGGAGGAAAAATCAATGCAGTGCCAAGATTACCAGGGAGCAGTTTTAAACTTCATTTGGATTCAAAATTATGCCTTGTGGCTGTTTGACTCCAAGCTACTGCCTTGCTGAAACAACACAAGCATGAGTCAGGTGTTAGAGAACTAGAGACAGACCTTCTGGCCAGAAGGTGGTCAAGAGTTATCCACCAAGAGCCCAGGTAAAATCACAGAACCGTAAAATGGTTTGGGTTGGAAGAGGCCTTTAAAGGCCACCGAGTCCAAACGCCCCTGCAGTGAGGAGGGACATCTTAACTAGATCCAGATGTTCAGAGCCCCATCCAAACTGGCCTTAAACACTCCCAGGGATGGACCATCTACCACCTCCCTGGGCAAACTGTGCCAGCATTTCACCACACTTACAGTAAAAAATTTCTTCCTTAAATCTAATTTGAATTTATCCCCTTTTAGTTTAAAACCATTACCCCACCTTGTCCTACCACTACAGGCCCTGCTAGAAAGATCTTCTACTTTCAGTTTGGTAGGAACTGACCCAAATAACCACCCTGCCCACAGCTGAATTCAGCAACCAGAGGGAGAGACTCAGGTCAGCAGACAAGGAAAAGAGCAGGTTGCCCTGCAAGAGCCACGACCTTCCCATTCACTATCACAGCCCACAAATGCAGCGGCTTTCCTTACAAAGGAAAATCTTATTTTTATCATAAAAAGCTTCAGGAGAAGATAATGACCCAGACTAGCATTTTTCCATTATAGTCAACCCGGCTTTAAGAATAAAAGCACACAAGGAAGTCTCGTGAGCAGTCCATAAACTCTTCTTAAAATGGAAATACTTAGGAAATCATTACCAATGATACCAGCAATGCACCAACGCACCAATAAGGAAAAAAAAGCATAGCAAATACTTCAATAAAATATCATTTTTCATATGTTCTCATTTCAATTTAGTATTCAAAGAGCAGTTATATACAAAATGCACACATTCTTCTACAGCAAATCTGAGAGGTAAAAAACTTGCAATACAGCTTAAATTCCAACCTAATAAGGGAAACCAAAACTTTACATTTTACACCCAAAGAGGTCTTATTTTTACTGTTATTTTGTTTTGTTTGGGCGTTTGAGGGTGGATTTTTTTTTGTCCCATTCCCCCCTTTTTATTTAAACATGTACCACAGAGTAGGCAAATACTTATGGGAACGCAGGAAAGAGAGGGCTTGAATTTGGAAAAGTTTCCGAGACCTTACCAGTGGAACAAATCATATCCACTGCAAACTTGTTCAGAAAACCTATCTGTGAAGGCTTTTTTTGAAACATCATGACCTGGAATACCAAATGCAGGTGACAGTGATTTACACTAGTGCAAAAAGTTCCTAGGGCAGCCTTAAGAACGAATTCCTCAAGAGTGATCTGAGGCTGGATGCAGTTGTAGCATGCTTATGACTCTGTGGGCCTTCACTTGACCCTGGGAAGGAAACCCTACTGTCAGGAATAAAAGTTTCCACAAAACATCTGCTGAAAAATTATTTGCTGCTGGGTTGACTTAGTATCAAATGACAGACACTCAGATGAGCTTTAACAATTGCCATCTTCTCTAAATGAAATCCAGGCAATTAAAAAAAATAATTCCATTTCTGTAATACACTGAATATTGACATAGCTGAAGGAACTATTAAAAAAAAATCCTGCCAGTGTTCCCTCCTACGTCAGACCTTTTAATAAATAAATAATAAATAATCTGAAAGGAAAGATTAAGCAAATAAATTTTCCACAAATTGTATAAATGATTGTAATTTGTTTTTTTTTTTTGCTCTGTTATATTCCTTAAGCAAATGCCAAGTTCAGTATTTGGTTTGACAGAGCTTGCATGCAAAATGATATCTCCCATATGGTGGACGTCACTTGTAAAGCAGACCAGGATTAATGCAACTTGGATGGCCACGTCAAGGAGGACAAGACTGTCCAGAACGAAAAGTACAATCCAGAATTTTCAAAACATAATCATTATAGCTCAAGACAGATAACACAAAAGGCTCTTTGCAGCTAAATACAGCAACACTGAACTGCAGACAGTCTCAAGGACTGACAATGCCACCCAGATAACTATCCTTGCTGTGCAGTAAAATTCAGGCTTAACGTTTACACATAAAACCACAAGATAAATTTTATGTTTTGAGGCAGGTAGATTATGGGGACTGCCAAAAGAGCAAAAAAAAAAAAGTTACACTGACATCTACAACTGATGCAGATGGAAACATTAGTAAGTTTAAACGCAAGATTTTTACCATATAAAAGCAAAGGAATAAATACTATTTTGACAAGTGAATTAAATTTAGAGCAAATCCAAAAAAGAAGCAGTCAGAAATTATTATAACTCTGACCCTCTGAATTAAATCCCTGTTTTCCAGGGTTTGCCATCCACCCCAAAGGCGCTTACAAAGACACCTATATCATCTGATTGATTACTCCTTTTCTCATGCTACAACAACTGATTGCCAGGATACTGAAACAGCAGTAGATGTTAATTCTTAGTAAAAGCATTTCTCACTACCTACATTTCCCTTTACCAGGGAAGTTCTAGGACTTACAGCAGTATTTCTTACTATTTCACTGGCAACTTTCTATGTCAACCTTTTTGATGCCTAAGGTACACCTCTCAAGTTGAAAATTACGTAAGGAAGAAGCAGCAAGTTGGCAAAGCCTGCAGCATTACTATCTAGACAAAGCATATTTCAGAAAAACAGATGGGTAATTTTTCTCTATTCAATTCCTATAACCCAAGATATATATTGCTTAAACTTTCATGTCTTGGCTCCTGCACAGGCTTCGACAATATAAAGGAACTTGGAAAATGTTTTAGGACACAAAGAAGGGAATCAGCTCCCCTTCACAGGTCTACACAATGGATTCCCATAAATGCTTTTGGTCAGCAAGGTCTGTAATGCTGATTTTACAGCCATGTCTCATCTGACTTTTGCATATGGCTCCTCAAGGTATTTGTAGTGTTTTACTACTTCTCTAGTAAGCTTCTCATGACCTTCTTCCTATCTGTTCCTCTTCTGTCATCCTTTCCCAAGTGAATAATACACTTTGTTTTCTCTTCAATTTAGCTTCTTAATATCTTAATTGCATCCTATTATCTTCTGTAAAGTTGATTCATCTTTTACACCCTTTAGAAGCAACATCTTAAGCATGAAGTCTTACGGGAGACAGTCACATGCCATGTGAAGACAAGTACTTTATTAATTACCAAAATAAATTTTAAAGTACTACCATCCTGATTGAAGTCCTGCCCTCTTTTTTTGGCTTTGAAATCCTCTACTTTTAATGCAATGACTTTATTTAGGATGCAGCAATCAACAGAAGACAAACATAGCCTTTTTTTTAGGCAGAGAAGCTACAGTGTCTTCCCAGTAATATATAACTTCCGTAAAAAAAGTTGCTGATGTGCATAGTTTGTTTTTATGACACATGGTACAGTTTTCAGAGAGCACTGATATCAATCAGTCTCTCCAGTTCATTATCGTGAGACTTCCAGGTAAGGACACACAGTAAGAACACCTAGTAATATTTAAACAAAGCAGATAACTGGTCTTCAAAGACAGACTATCTACAGCTCCCCACAGCAGGGACTTTTCAAAGGAAGTGTAGCTTTGGCTTTGAGCAGCTATAAAAGCCTCAGTGACTACTAACACAATTTATGCATTACGATATTAAAATCCCACTGCTATACTACATCATGTTCATTTGTGATAAATTTCGGCTATTATCCAAAGAAAGAGACAAGCCACTGTGAGCTTACTCACCCTTACAAGGCTGGGAGCAATACACGAGCATGGTATCTTGACATTCTTGAGGCACTTTTCATGAGACATGAAGTTGCAAACTGTGGAAATAAAATAAGAACCATGAGCAAATCTTCACAAGCAAGGGACTTTGTGAAACACGAACAAACAAAAACCCATATGGAGTAAAAAAACAATTAGGAACACATTTTTTTAATCGTATTTGCTGTACCCTGGGTTTGAGAACGTACATGACTGTTGCACTTTGTGCAGTGAGTGAACTCCAACATGTTCTGTTACTAAGATATTGGCAATGGAAAAGCAAAGGAGAGTTTATCCCAATGCACTACAGGCAAGTTATGTCCTCCCACACTCTCTCTCCATAAGTATCAAAACGAGCTCTTAAATTTCAAAAGAAGTTTTAAACAGTTCAAAATAGCTCTTTGATGTAGCCAAAGCAGATGGACATGCTTGAAAGTGAATTATTCTACAAGCTAGTGCATGTGACATAAATAAATGGGAGAAAACAAAGTATTGTTACACACTGAGCAGAACGGATGAAGGAGACAAAATTAAAGGTTACCAGTTGCACGCAGCTTTCAAAGTCAAGAGCAACTAACTGTTTCTCTTATTACAGGTTTATAATTCCATCCAAGCACCAGAAAGCGTGCTTTCAACCATGACAGTGTTCGAAAAAATCACTTCTCATGGGGGGTGGGGTATTTTCCACAGCTTCTTACCATGGATTTGCACTACATTAAGCTGTGCAAAGAAAAGAAGGGATTCTGTATTACATTCCCGCCACCTCAGATTAATTAGGAACTAATAAGCCACGAAACTATGGATTTAGAGTTGTCCTTATTACTCTCTACCAATTCAAGCATGAAGCCTTATGCAGACGCTTAGGCCCTGACCTCTTGTGTGGAAGTGCAGACCTCCCCCAGTGCCTGGGCAGAGGATCACTTGCCATTGGGAACTGTTCCTGTACACAGGGGGTTTTCACACTCCAAGGGCTTCAGACTTCCCATCTGTAGGCCATTGCTGCCACTGACTGTATTTGCTAGTGCCATCAAAAGCAGTCAAATTCCTCTCCTCCCCCCTTCTCCTGCTCATTGACTTCTGATTGCACAACACTGCATTGCACCTTCTTCCATGCCAACTGAAGCATTAAAATCCAGGTCCACTTCTCTAAGCAACTTGCTGCCAGCCCCTGCAAAGTAATTTTTCCTTTAGGTAGCACAAAAAGAAGGATGACTACTTTCCCATTGGCACTCATCTTAATGTCAGCAGTAGGCAGAGTTTGTTTTTCATTACTCTGCAAGTCAGAAAAAGAAGCACTGCAAGTCACTACTGTGTACAAACATGTTGTTCATCATCCATGACTGAACCCAGAGTGATTACTGCACCAATGAAATAAAGTAGGAAGGAGCAGAACCAAATCTTCTGCTGGGTGACATGAAATGTTATGCATGTCTTTAAGGCTGATGGCATTCCTGAGTGGGAATGCCCCCCAAAATGGCATAAGTAAGGAGAGGAAATAGTCAAGAAAGGATGACAAAGCAGATTCTCAAGAGCTGAAAATGCAAATGTTCAACATATTTGGAGGTGGTCTCTATGGTGGAAGGGGCGCACAGTCCTTCAGTGCAGAGGAGACCAAAGAGAACAAAGTCATTGTCCAGGCAGAAGAATGGTGAATCTCCTGCTCCAGAAAACAGGTATAACTCCACACAGAGAACTGGTGAATTCTCATCACTTACGTATGTGGTCTCAACATGGATGTAGTGATAACATACTTAATGATAACACACCAAAACTTACCTGAGGTCTCAGCAATATTTCTACTGATGCTTTTAGGAGGGTCACCTGCTTGCTGTGAGAGCAGGTCTGCAGAAGCTACAGGAAAAAATCCCATTATCACCTAATCTGAAATTTACCACATACATCCCATCACCAGTGGAAGACATCTGCCCCAGTCACTTGTTTAGGTGGTCTCTTCACTATCCCAGAGTGGTGCCCAAAGCTCAGCTGAAACCTGGCAAGGTGAGGGAACTGACCTCTGCAGGCAGAATCATCGTGACAAAGGTCCTGATGGCTTCAAACCATGAAAGGCAGAGCATGACGCTTTCAATATAAACTGGCAGATGACAAGAAGTTCATGAAGAGGTGAGGTCTAGTCAAAGACGAAGCAGCAATGACTAATGAAATTCAGTGAAATGACACTGTTTCCCCTCATTTTTTTTAATTCAGAAGCAGGCTGGCTAGAAAGGAAGGAACAGAGAGCAAGGTGCTGCAGACTGATCACAGAAATGTTATGATCTGCAAGGAGCAGCAGGCAACTGAAGTCTGCAAGGCCACTGTCTTCAATTGGCTACCAGATTTAAGTGCACGCAAACTCAATGCACAAGTAAACTGAGCCCTACACAAACAGCTCAGGGAATTCAGAGAGTAACCGATCAATAGATGAGATGCTTCTTCCACAGACCTTGACAGATGTTCTCTGCTTATTCAGACAACTCAAGTCACTACACAATACCACTCAATTTTCTCTTTGCAGTGACAAACTCAGCAAAACACGGACCTGCATGAAGACAGTAATACACGGTTCAGCTAAGAAAACACCTCATGGCACAGAAAAAATACACTAGACCAGCAGCTTCAGAGAAGCAGTAAAACCAAAAAGTTTCAGACAAGGAGCAAAACAGGAAGGTGCATAAAGGTTCTAGCTGTTCAAGTACATACAGAAAAAAAAACAACACGCAAAAGAGTTAATTCCCTAAGATTTCAACTGAAAAAATGAAGCATTTGCAAATAATCCAATTAAGGAATATCAGGAGACAAACAGTGGGAGATAAGGAGTGCCCAAACAGACACGGCAACATTCTCCACAAAAGATTTTCACACATTTTTTTCAGGAGGTACTCGCACACTCCCTCCTCTGCTTGTCACATTCCTCAGGAGGTGAAATTACTCCTACAAGTCACCATTTTGTTTTTATTTTCCGCATTCCACAAAGAAATAAACCCAAAATGGTAGCAAGTCAAACTGAAGCATAGGGGAAGAGGGCAGGGGAATCCTGAATTCATATCAATAGTCCCAGCAATTAAGCCTAAAGTTCTGACAGCCAGGAGGGAGTTTGTGTTTTTTTAAAGGGTGACCTTTTATTAGGGAAAACAAGCCAGAAGACACTGTGTGTGACGTTTCAGGAGATTAAATGCAAAATTTTGAGGAAAAAGCATTTAAAGGAAGAGGGCAGGCTGTTCTCTTTAGAGGAAGAGGATTTCTTGATGCTACAAACTTAGTGATGAGCTACAAGCAGACACAACTATGAATTGCCTAAGTCAAAACAAAGCAATTTCAATTGCATCTTTCAAACACACTATACAAAACCGATGGTCTCAGTCAAGCTTGAAAGCCTGCAGCGCTCCCTGCGTTCTTTAGCTAAGCATCTTAAGCACTATCAAAAGTACCCAACAGCATGGATGAAGGGAGAGACAAACACACAAAGTGTATTTGAGGAAAACAGTGCCTGCAACCTTCAAACTGGACTTTGAATACAAGGCACCTACATCCAGGTTTAAGCCGCATGAAGTTATTCAACACTGACAGAAGATGAACAGCCACGATTTCAAGAGACATTGCCAGAATCTACAAATTCATTTACTTAAAGCTTTAGGGGACTTTACATGGTCTCTCCAAGCACCTAACTATAAGCTCAGGCATACAGCAACCATATTTGACAAGTTTCCCTTGTTCCCTTCCTCCATTCAATAGCAAATTACCTCCTTGTGAAAGATTAGTAATTCCCACTACACAGCAAGAAGCCATGTGTCCATCAGGCACCACAGGGCTGCTTCCTGTCCACATCGAGCACAATATGTGGCTTTACAGCAGTCTCTGCCCATAAGCCATTGCTTTTCCTACCACATTTTGTTTCCCTTGGGGTTTTGATAAAGATAAATGCAATGTGTACATACCGCAACACTGAGTGAACATGCAGCCAGTAGCCCTCCAACATACACTATAAAGGAAACAGAAAACATCTCTCTCTAGCCCTCCTTAGGAAGACAGGAGATAAAATCTAGGAATCACTGTAACTCATGAGTTGTGTAACACATCCTAGAAAAGTGAGGGCTATTTACACCCTCCAATATATCACACTTTTTTCACATCAGCGTTTTTGTCTCTATCCTCAAGACAGACTTCAAAGCAGAACTCAAAAGTATGAAGAAGAAAAAGGTGGATTATGTCCTGTACAGACTCTAGCAATGTATCAGTGTCCTATGCAAATGATGTCTGGGTGAGAATTGCTTATGATGTAATACCAAATTTAACACATCATCTTTTTTCTCTTTTTGAAGAGATCACCCAGTCCTGAGGAAAAGTGTGCAAGATGTTAAAAACCAGTTTTGTTTCCTCTTTGGGGCAATACCATATCTCAATTTTGCTGTTTTTCAAATATAAATTTATTTGTAAATTTGCATTTTAACATGTTGGCCTTCATTTAATTTTTATTTTATCTTTAACAATTGTATTTTTAAATCTAACTTTACATTTCTTAAACACTTTTAAAAGCAGAGCTACCAAATTGCTTTCCAAGGAGGATAAAGGAATATCAACACAAAACCAAAATGGATTTGATCTCTCCTGGAAACGTGACACAAGACTCACTGTGGATCTATTCACTGTGAGAACTCATTTTGAGCTTAACAAAAGCACCTGCCTGGTAAATTGCAATTCCTCCTCCAACCCCTCTGTTGTCTGGATTTGTTGTCCTGCCTGCCACCTCCTGCCCCTCTGCCTCGGGCTTCTGCCCCTCAGTTAACTTGCAGCAGGAGCCACAATCAGCATTAAGAAACACTCTCCTTCTCACAACAATTCCCTTCGGTTGAACTCACTGCAGGGTGCCATCGCTCATGGGTTTTGCACGTTGTGGTCTTGCTACTCACACAGGAGCCATCAAGCACTGTCATGGCCACAGGTCGTATTGAGGACCCCGAAAAAGAGAGAGCTCCTGCACCCGAAGACAGAGGCAAGTTCCAGCAGCCGAGCGCTCTCTCCGCACACACCTTCAGCCAACTTCAGTAACTCCCAACAACACGCT